GCCACCAGGCCTAGGCCTGAAGGCAAACCTGAGCCACTGAGCCTGAGCCACCAGGCCACAGGCCTAGGCCACTGAAGCCCTGAGCCTGAGCCACTGAGCCTGGGCCACTGACGACCTGAGCCCTCGACCTGAGCCCTAGGCCCACCGGCCACTGAGCCACTCGAGCCCTGAAGCCACTGCAGCCCTGACGCCACACGCCTCGACCCCAGACCTGAAGCCCTCGACCCCAGCCCTCGACCTGAAGCCCTCGGCCCTAGGCCTAGAAGCCCTCGACCCCGAGCCGACCCTCGGCCCTCGGCCCTCGACCCCGACCCTCAGCCACGACCCACAAACCCTCGGCCCTCGACCCACAAACCCTCGGCCCCTCGACCCTCGACCCTGAGCCCTACGGCCACACCTCGACCCTAAGCCCTGAGCCACTGAGCCCTGAGCCTGAGGCCTGAGCCCTGGGCCTGGGCCTGGGCCACTGGGCCTGGGCCACTAGGCCTAGGCCCTGGGCCACAGGCCTAGGCCCTGAGCCCTGGGCCTAGGCCCTGGGCCACAGGGCCACAGGCCACCAGGCCACTGAGCCCTGAGCCACTGGGCCCTGAGCCTGGGCCACTAGGCCCGGGCCCTAGGCCACTAGGCCACCAGGCCACCAGAGCCCTAGGCCACAGGCCACCAGGCCAGGCCACAGGCCCTGGGCCACTGAGCCACTGAGCCACTAGGCCACAGGCCCTGAGGCCTGGGCCACAGGCCACAGGCCACAGGCCACTGAGCCCACAGGCCACCAGGCCACTGAGCCACTGAGGCCTGAGCCACTAGGCCACCAGGCCCCAGGAGCCACCAGGCCACTAGGCCTGAGCCCAGGCCTAGGCCCCAGGCCCTGGGCCCTAGGCCCTAGGCCTAGGCCACAGGCCACAGGCCCTGAGGCCCTGGGCCACCAGGCCTAGGCCACTGAGCCCTGGGCCTGAGCCCAGGAGCCCTGGGCCACAGGCCACATGAGCCCTGGGCCCTGGGCCACTGGACCTGGGCCTGGGCCACAGGCCACTGAGCCCTGGGCCCTGGGCCCACTGGGCCCTAGAGCCCTGGGCCACAGGCCTAGGCCCTAGGCCCTGGGCCCTGGGCCTGAGCCCTGGGCCCTGGGCCACCAGGCCACTGAGCCCTGGGCCACTAGGCCACCAGGCCCCGGGCCCTGAGCCCTGGGCCTGGGCCTAGGCCCTGGGCCACAGGCCCAGGCCTAGGAGCCCTGGGCCTGGGCCTGGGCCCTGGGCCCTGGGCCTGAGCCCAGGGCCCTGGGCCCACTAGGCCCTGAGCCCTAGGCCACTGGGCCCTGAGCCCTGGGCCACTGAGCCCTGAGCCCTGGGCCCTGGGCCCTGAGGCCCTAGGCCCTGGGCCCTGGGCCACAGGCCCTGAGCCTGGGCCCTGGGAGCCCTGGGCCTGCAGGCCCTGAGCCCACAGGCCCTAGGCCCTAGGCCACAGGCCACTAGGCCCTAGGCCCTGAGCCCTGGGCCACAGGCCACTGAGCCACTGAGCCCTGAGGCCACTAGGCCACTGAGCCCTGGGCCCTGGGCCACCAGGCCACAGGGCCCTGAGCCCTGGGCCACAGGCCCCAGGCCACTGGGCCACTAGGCCCTGGGCCTGAGCCCTGGGCCCTGGGCCCTAGGCCCTGGGCCCTGGAGGCCACTGAGCCACAGGCCCTGGGCCCTGGGCCCTGGGCCACAGGCCCTGAGGCCACAGGCCCTGAGCCACAGGCCACTAGGCCCTGGGCCTGAGGCCCTGGGCCCTGGAGCCGCCTAGGCCACTAGGCCCTGGGGCCCTGGGCCACGAGGCCACAGGCCACTGAGCCCTAGGCCCTGGGCCACTGAGCCCTGAGGCCTAGGCCACAGGCCACAGGCCACTGAGCCCTGAGCCCTGAGCCCTGGGCCACAGGCCACTGAGCCCTGGGCCCTGGGCCACCCAGGCCACTGAGCCCTGGGCCACTGAGCCTCAGGCCCTGGGCCACAGGCCCTGGGCCCTGGGCCCTGAGCCCAGGCCTGGGCCTAGGCCCTGACCTGAGGCCCTGGGCCACAGGCCACAGGCCACCTAGGCCTGGGCCACAGGCCCAGGGCCACTGAGCCACAGGCCACAGGCCACAGGCCACCTGAGCCACTGAGCCCTAGGCCTGGGCCCTGGGCCCCTGAGCCCTGAGCCTAGGCCACCAGGCCCTAGGCCACTGGGCCACTAGGCCCTGGGCCACTGAGCCCCAGGCCCTGAGCCCCCTAGGCCTGAGCCCTGGGCCACCAGGCCACAGGCCACTAGGCCACAGGCCCTAGGCCCTGAGCCTAGGCCCTGGGCCACTAGGCCTAGGCCCTGAGCCCAGGCCCTGAGCCCTGGGCCCGGGCCACAGGCCCAGAGCCCTGGGCCACAGGCCACTAGGCCTGAGCCCAGGCCACAGGCCCTGAGCCACAGGCCACCAGGCCACAGGCCCTGGGCCACTGGGCCCTGGGCCACCAGGCCACAGGCCACAGGCCCCAGGCCCTGAGGCCTGAGCCCTGGGCCCTGAGCCACTGGGCCTAGGCCCAGGCCCTGAGCCCTGGGCCACTGAGGCCCTGAGGCCCCAGGCCACAGGCCACAGGCCACGGCCCTGAGCCCTGGGCCCAGGCCCTGGGCCACTAGGCCCTGCAGGCCCTGGGCCACAGGCCCTGGGCCTAGGCCCTAGGCCACTGAGGCCTGAGGCCTAGGCCCTGGGCCACTAGGCCACTGAGCCTAGGCCACAGGCCCTGGGCCCTGGCCACAGGCCTAGGCCACAGGCCTAGGCCACTGACGCCACAGGCCTAGGCCACAGGCCTAGGCCACTGAGCCACAGGCCCTGGCCCTGAGCCCTCAGGCCCCTGGGCCCTAGAGCCACCAGGCCCCAGGCCTGAGGCCCAGGCCCTGAGCCCTGAGGCCCTCGGGCCCTGAGCCCTGAGGCCCTGAGCCCTAGGCCCTGACTGAGCCCTGGGCCCTGGGCCTGAGCCTAGGCCCTGAGCCCTAGGCCACTAGGCCACAGGCCCTGGGCCCTAGGCCACAGGCCCTGGGCCACTAGGCCACAGGCCCTAGGCCCTGAGCCCTGGGCCCTGAGCCACCAGGCCCTGGGCCCTGGGCCCTGGGCCCAGGCCACAGGCCTGAGCCCTGGGCCACAGGCCTGGGCCCTAGGCCCTGGGCCCTGAGCCCTAGGCCACTAGGCCCTGAGCCCTAAGACCTGAGCCACCAGACCGGCCACAAGACCCTGGGCCCTGAGCCCCAGGCCCCAGGCCCTGAGCCTGAGCCCTGAGCCCCTAGGCCCTGAGCCCTGGGCCACAGGCCACGAGGCCTAGGCCTAGGCCTGAGGCCCCAGGCCTGAGGCCTGGGCCCTGGGCCTCAGGCCCTGGGCCCAGGCCTGAGCCCTGGGCCCTGAGGCCCAGGCCCTGAGCCACAGCCTGAGCCCCAGGCCCCAGGCCCTAGGCCCTGAGGCCTGAGCCACAGGCCCTGAGCCCTGAGCCCTGAGCCCTAGGCCTGAGCCCTGAGCCCTGAGCCTGGGCCCTGGGCCACTGGGCCCTGGGCCCTGAGCCCCGGGCCACAGAGCCCTAGAGCCCTGAGCCCTGAGCCCACAGGCCACTGAGCCACAGGCCACAGGCCCTAGGCCCTAGGCCACTGGGCCTGAGGCCCTGGGCCACGGCCCTGAGCCACCAGGCCCTGAGCCACTGAGCCTAGGCCACTGGGCCCTGGGCCACTGGCCCAGGCCCTGAGCCCTGAGCCCTAGGCCCTGGGCCCTAGGCCTAGCCTAGAGCCCTGGGCCCTGGGCCACAGGCCACTAGGCCACTGAGCCCCAGGCCCTGAGGCCCTGAGCCCTCGGCCCTCGAGCCCTGAGCCACAGGCCACCAGGCCTGAGGCCCTGGACCACGAGCCCTGGGCCTGGGCCCTGAGCCCTGGACCCTGGGCCCTGGGCCCTGGGCCACTGAGGCCCTGAGGCCTGAGCCCTCGGCCCCAGGCCCTAGGCCCCGAGGCCCCTGAGGCCACCAGGCCCACAGGCCCTGAGCCACCCTGGGCCCTAGGCCCTGGGCCCTGGGCCACAGGCCCTAGGCCCTAGGCCACAGGCCCTGGGCCCTAGAGCCCTGGGCCTGAGCCCTGGGCCAGGCCTAGGCCCTGGGCCCTGAGCCCTGAGCCCTGAGCCCTAGGCCACTAGGCCCTGAGGCCCTAGGCCATAGGCCACAGGCCACTGAGCCCAGGCCACGAGCCCTGGGCCCTGGGCCCCAGGCCCTGGGCCACAGGCCACACTGGGCCACAGGCCTGCAGGCCCTAGACCTAGGGCCACTAGGCCACTGAGCCTAGGCCTAGGCCCTGAGCCCAGGCCACTGAGCCACAGGCCACAGGCCAGCCCAGGCCACTGAGCCTGAGCCCTGGGCCTGAGGCCCTGGGCCTAGGCCACTGGGCCACCAGGCCCTAGGCCACCAGGCCTAGGCCCTGGGCCACTAGGCCACAGGCCCTGGGCCACCAGGCCCTAGGCCCAGGCCCTGAGCCCTGGGCCACAGGCCCTAGGCCTAGGCCACAGGCCCTGAGCCCTGGGCCCAGGCCATAGGCCACCAGGCCCTGAGCCACCAGGCCCTAGGCCTAGGCCCTAGGCCCTGGGCCTAGGCCCTGGGCCCTAGGCCCAGGCCCTAGGCCCTGAGCCCTAGGCCCTAGGAGCCCTGGGCCTGGAGCCTAGGCCCTGAGGCCCTGGGCCCTGGGCCCCAGGCCACGGAGCCCTGAGCCCTGAGGCCACCAGGCCTGGGCCCTGAGCCCTGGGCCCTGAGGCCACAGGCCACAGGCCCTGAGCCCTGAGCCCACAGGCCCTGGGCCCTGAGCCACAGGCCCTGGGCCCCAGGCCCAGAGCCCAGGCCTGAAGCCCTGGGCCCTGAGCCCTAGGCCACCAGGCCCTGGGCCCCTGAGCCCCAGAGCCCTGAGCCCAGGCCTGAGCCCTGGGCCCTGAGCCCTAGGCCCTGAGCCCAGGAGCCCTAGGCCTAGGCCCTGAGCCCTGGGCCTAGAGCCCTGGGCCACCAGGCCACTGAGCCCTAGGCCCTGAGCCCCTAGGCCTAGGCCACAGGCCCTGGGCCTAGGCCCTGAGCCACAGGCCCAGGGCCCATAGGCCCTGGGCCTGAGCCCTGGAGCCCTGAGCCCTGGGCCACTGAGCCCTAGACCTAGGCCACTGGGCCCAGGGCCACCAGGCCCCGAGGCCACTAGGCCTGGGCCTGAGCCCTGAGGCCCAGGCCACAGGCCCTAGGGCCACAGGCCTAGGCCACTGGGCCACAGGCCACCAGGCCCCAGGCCCTGGGCCCTGAGGCCCTGAGCGCCTGGGCCCAGGCCACTGGGCCACTGGGCCCTGGGCCCTGGGCCTAGGCCCTGGGCCACAGGCCACTGAGCCACCAGGCCACTGAGCCCATAGGCCCTGAGCCCTGAGCCCTGAGCCCCCAGGCCACAGGCCACTGAGCCCCTGAGCCCTAGGCCCACTGAGCCACTAGGCCCTGGGCCACTAGGCCACTGAGCCCACGAGGCCACTGAGCCCCAGGCCCTAGGCCTGAGCCCAGGCCCTGGGCCCTAGGCCACAGGCCACTAGGCCACTAGGCCACAGGCCCTAGGCCACAGGCCACTAGGCCACAGGCCCTGAGGCCCTGAGCCACAGGCCACTGGAGCCCACAGGCCACAGGCCTAGGCCCTGAGGCCACAGGCCTGGGCCCTGGGCCTCAGGCCACTAGGCCCTGGGCCCTGGGCCTAGGCCCTGGGCCACAGGCCCTGGGCCACTGAGCCCACAGGCCCTGAGCCCTGGGCCTGCAGGCCCTGGGCCACTGAGCCCTGACCCAGGCCTAGGCCACAGGCCCCTGAGCCCTAGGCCACAGGCCCTGAGGCCCTAGGCCCTGGGCCCTGAGCCCTAGGCCACAGGCCCCTAGGCCCTGAGCCCTGGGCCCTGAGCCCTGAGCCCTGGGCCACTGAGGCCACCAGGCCTGGGCCCAGGCCACAGGCCCTGGGCCACAGGCCACTGAGCCACTAGGCCACTAGGCCACTGAGCCCCAGGCCACTGAGCCCTGGGCCCTGAGGCCACCAGGCCCACGAGCCCTGGGCCCTGAGGCCTAGGCCCTGAGCCACAGGCCACTGAGCCCTGGGCCACTGAGCCACAGGCCACTGAGCCACTGAGCCACAGGCCACTGAGCCACTGAGCCACTCAGGCCACTGAGCCCTGAGCCACTGAGCCCTGAGCCCTGAGCCACAGGCCACAGGCCCTGAGGCCCTGACCAGGCCCTGGGCCCTAGGCCCTGAGCCCTGGGCCAGGCCCTGAGCCTAGGCCACAGGCCTAGGCCACAGGCCTGAGCCCTGGGCCACCAGGCCCTGAGCCCTAGGCCACTGAGCCCTAGGCCACAGGCCCTGAGCCCTAGGCCACAGGCCTAGGCCTGCGACCTAGGCCACTGAGCCACAGGCCCTGAGCCTGGGCCCTGGGCCCTCAGGCCCTGAGCCTAGGCCCTGGAGCCCTAGGCCACAGGCCACTAGGCCCTGAGCCACAGGCCCTGAGCCCTGGAGCCACAGGCCCTAGGCCCTGAGCCCTAGGCCACTGAGCCACAAGCCCTGAGCCCTAGGCCCTGGGCCACTAGACCCTAAGCCCTGAGCCTAGGCCACCTAGGCCACACGACCCTAGGCCACTGAGCCCTGAGCCCTAGAGCCCTGGGCCACTGAGCCCTGAGCCACTGGCCACTGAGCCCTGAGCCCTGGGCCACAGGCCACTGGCCCTGAGCCCTGGACCTCAGGCCCACAGGCCCTGGGCCCTGAGCCCTGGGCCCTGAGCCACCAGGCCCTGAGCCCTGAGGCCCTGAGGCCCACAGGCCCTAGGCCACTGAGGCCACAGGCCCTGAGCCACCTAGGCCTAGGCCCTCGGCCACTGAGCCCTGGGCCCTGAGGCCCTGGAGCCCTCGGGCCCTAGGCCCTGGACCACTGAGCCCTGAGCCCACAGAGCCCTGAGCCCTGGACCCCAGGCCCTGAGCCCTGAGCCCAGGCCCAGGCCTAGGCCCTGGGCCCTCAGGCCCTGAGCCTGAGCCACACCTAGACCCTAGGCCTGAGACCCACAAGCCCTAAGCCACAGACCCCAGGCCCTAGGCCCCTGAGCCCTAGGCCCTAGGCCACAGGCCCTGCAGGCCACGAGCCTAGGCCCTAGGCCTGAGCCCTAGGCCCAGGCCTGGGCCCCAGGCCACAGAGCCACAGGCCACTGAGCCCCAGGCCCTGAGCCCTAGGCCACAGGCCCTAGGCCACAGGCCCTGAGCCCTGACCACGAGCCCTGAGCCACCAGGCCCCAGGCCACTGGCCTGAGCCCTGAGCCCAGGCCACTGGCCACAGGCCACTGAGCCCTGGGCCCTGAGCCCTGAGCCCCGAGCCACAGGCCCCAGGCCCTGAGCCCTAGGCCCCAGGCCCCAGGCCCTAGGCCACAGGCCCTGAGCCCCAGGCCACCAGGCCCTAGAGCCCTGGGCCCCAGGCCACAGGCCACTGGGCCACAGGCCCTGAGCCACAGGCCACTAGGCCTGAGCCCAGGCCCTGAGCCCTGAGCCCTGAGCCACAGGCCCTGAGCCCTAGGCCCTGAGCCCTGGGCCACAGGCCCTGAGCCCTGAGCCCTGAGCCCAGGCCCTAGGCCACAGGCCACTGAGCCACTGAGGCCCCAGGCCCTAGGCCACAGGCCTAGGCCACAGGCCCTAGGCCCAGGCCTGAGCCCTGACCCTGAGCCACAGAGCCTAGGCCACTGAGCCCTGGGCCCTAGGCCACAGGCCTAGACCCCAGGCCACAAGCCCTGACCCTAGACCCTGAGCCCTGAGCCACTAAGCCCTAGACCACTAAGCCACTAGACCCTAGGCCACTAAGCCCTGAGCCCTAGACCACTAAGCCACTGAGCCCTAGGCCCTGAGCCTACCAAGCCCTGAAGCCCTGACCCTAAGCCCTAGACCCTAGGCCACAGGCCCTAAGCCCTAGACCACTAAGCCCTAAGCCCTAGAGCCTAGGCCCTAAGCCACCAGACCCTAAGCCACTAAACCCTAAACCACTAAGCCACTAAACCCTAGACCACTAAGCCACAAACCCTAAACCCTAAACCCCAAACCCCAAACCCTAAACCCTAAACCCTAAACCCTAAACCACAAACCCTAAACTTTTTTTTGGATAAATTTAAATTGTATAGAAGGAAAAGGTATATACGAGATACGAGGGGCATACCCCGAGTTATACGAAAGGGAAAAGCTAATCGAGACTAGGTTGTCTTGATTCGCTAGACCAGAAACATAGGCGAAGCAAATGGGATGAACTCGAAGCCCAAACCCACTAAACACTTAGAAAAATTCAAAGAAAAATAAAGAAAACTTTAATAAAACCATCAAAGCTGGTAAATCCTAAAGACGCCATATGGACCAGAAGCTCGGCGGGATGCGGTACTTATACTCCAAATCCAACAAACGTGATGCGATGACTTCAAAAATCTCCCCGTGATCTCACGGTAAGGTCGGTAGATACGATGAAAGACTCGGTTATTCCTCTCATACCGGATAAAGTAAGCCAGTAGGCGAGAGGACTAAACGAGCAAGCAAATGGAGGAACTCTTTCTTCTTTCTCAAATGCATAGATGCCCGGTGTATCGAGAGATTGCCATATCATAGATGGCCGGACTAGTAAAGTCTTCCTCGAAATATCATCCCGAAGAGCGATAGAGAAAGAACGGTCGAAAAACAAATGTTCATGAGTTTCGACGTGCGACCCACGAAAGGACACGATCATGTCTTGGTAATGATGCGGAAAGCATGTAGTCTATCCATGGTATACAAACGGCCTAAAGCGACAAGCCATAGAATAAAAGAGTGTCTAGGGATGTGACACGAAAACCAAAGAAGGTGATGAATAGAGTACGAAGGTCTCGAATCTGCGAGGATCTCCCAGTGAGTCGATAGAGAATCTCCACGAAGGATGACCCTTCCGGACATAATGATCGGGAAGGCAATCCGCGGGTAAAAATGAATAGAGTTCCAAATCGAATGAAGGTCGAAACACACGAAGGAAAAACCCGATGACCTGCTCGATGATATCGGATACCTTTGCATCCCGAGGTAACCCGAGGCGAAAGGACTGCGAAAGAGTAACGATCACATAGCCGTCGGCCAGTCGGGAAGCCGATAATCCATCCATAGAGAGGTAGAAGTCCCATCACCTATGCGAGAGATAAACAAGCCTTTGCACCGGTCTCGGCGAGGAGAATCTTCCTCCGAGCCCGAAGGGGATGAAGGAGGGCGTACACGCCAAAAGATGCGCCTACGAGTAACACACGATGCACCCGAGATGACCAAACGGAAGATGCATGCGAGAGGAGACGCAGGACATGTTTTAGCGTAGCCGGCTTTATTCCAAGTGCGTGAGCGGCAATCCCCAGAGCCACCCTCGCGAAGAGGGTAACAAGCTGAAGCCCAAGCTACCTTAGCCCAGAGGGGAAAGGGAGGAACCACTTCCACGAAGGCGGCTAAAATACCCTCGATCCTCACGATAATTGAGCACGGAAGAATAAACATAGAGGACCAATATACTGGATAGAGAAGAGGACGGATTTGATCGGTTGAAGGCGCCCGAATATGTGAGAGAGGTGAAGTCCATAGCTTAATCCGAGAGAGAATCCGCTCGACTAAAGGCAAGCGGTCAACTATGCTTCGAACGAGTGGAGATCGAAGGGACTCAGAGATACCTAGCGGTAGAGAGCCCAGCCGAAACCCAGAGAGATTGAAGGGAAGCTCCTAGCTCATCATCCACTCCGATAAGAAAACATGGCTTTTCTCGGGGTTAGTTATCAACCCGGATAACCTGTAAAAGTCATCCAGAGCCTTCCTCACAATCCCGACCGAATCCATATACGCACGACGGAAAATCATAAGGTCATCGGCAAAGCATAAGTGCGTGATGGCACTCATTTGCACCTCCGATGGGCCGAAATCTTGGACTCTGTGAAGCCTCTCTAAGCATTCCTCCCGGACCCTCCATGGCAGAGACAAATAAATAGGGGGACAATGGATCACCTGCTAGAAGGCCTACATATGATGGAAAAAACCCGTGGAGCTCTCCATTTATAGCCCATTGAGAAAAAAGTCTGTAGACATACATACCTCGATCCATTTAATCATGGAATTAGGCACTCCGATAGATTTCAATCCCAAGATGATAAATTCCCGACTAAGCGTAGTCGAAAGCTTTCGGATGTCTACCTTGAAAGCACATCTAGCCATAGAGCTAGGTAGATGATAGTTATGCATGAGCTCTTGGGTCGGTAAAATAGCATACGATATCATGTCTACCGGGAATAAAAGCGATCGAAATTTGGACCGATCACATCGGGTAGAATCATCTTCGGCACTGCTCACGATGACTTTAGAGATGCATTTATACATGACATTACGGCATGCGATCGGCCTAAAGTCTTTCATAGAGGTAGGGTTCTCAATCTTAGGAATCGGAGAAATCCTAGTAGCATTAATACAACGAGGAAGAGTAGAGGAGCGAAGAAGTACCTTACGGCGGCAATGAAGTCTGCGCAATAATATCCCGACTTTTCTTGAAAAACGAGAAGTGTAACCATCGGGGCACGGAGCCTTATCATCGGGATGGAGAATAAGGCTCCGCTTGATCTCATCATCGGTGATATCGGACTCTAAAGTGGAAACCATATCGGGAGAAATGCTTGCTAGAAAAGTACCTAGAGGCATCCTCGGGAGGGGAGGCCGAATGAGAGGAGAGCACGTCACGAAAGTATCGAGCTGCTAGCCGACCCATACCATGCGATCATGGACCCGAATCCCAGACTCATCGGTCGAAGCCATGAATCCTGTTCACGACACATCTATGAAGAAGCGATCTATGGAAGAACTTGGTGTTCCTATCACCCGATTGAAGCCACTTGAATCCAGAGGCCGATTGCTTATAAAAAGCTTCCTCATCCTTACTTAGGTGGGAGTATTCCTTAGCGAGCGCCCTCTCGGACACCAAGTACTCATCTATATGAGGAGAACCATCCAATAAAACTGAGTTGCGGCCAGACGAGCCTTTGCCTCCATCACCCTACTAGAGATATGACTAGTGTGGTGACGATGGAAAGACTTAAGTTTAGACTTGAGCAACCCCGATCTACGAGTAAACACTGAACATCGGGTTACCATTCATCGGAACACCGCAAACCTCCTCCACTAAACCCATAAAATCATCACTGTCGACCCAAAAGTTCAAAAACTTAAATGAAGCTTTTACCTTAGATGGAGCGGAAGCTGAAATCAACCACCATAGCAACTATGATCGGATGAATCTCGTGGTAGAAATTCGAGCGAGTAGTCGGCCATGATGAGAACCACTGCGAGTTACCAAAAATCCGGTCGAGCTTTTCTAGAATAGAGCCACTTGCCATGCGACTATTATGCCGGGAGAATCTCAAACACTGAATAAGGAACTACGATTAACTCGGATGCATGCACACGATTGCTAAAATCATCCATATGTCCATACCGAAGGGTCACCCCCATACTTATACGAAGAACTCGGAATAGCATTAAAGTCTCCCAGAGACAAGCCGAGGCACGGATTGAAAAGCGAGAAGAGTGAAGCCTCGAAATAATCCCACGAGTCTGACGACTATACGGTGTATTTAAACCATACACAAAAGTTACGACAAAGAGGAGCGATCGACCAAGCTAGAAACCTCACGAGTCATCCTTTGCGAGGAAGAATGCAAACGGCAAATGCTATACACCAACGGGTCCCGACCAATCAGAATACGACATTTAAGCTGCATCGACACATTAGAAAGAAGCTGCCGGGATGAAGGATTTATAGGCGATTCAACTCTCCTCATACGGCTAGCGACGACTTTGGTCTCGAAGACTGCTAAGCTAATACGATATTTAGCAATCCAATCCTTAACCACTCTGTTTTGACGGGCCATTAAGACCCCAAATATTCCAGCAACCTAACATAAAAATAGGAGTGGAGGAGAAAACATAGGGGAAAAATTAATAGCCACTTAGGCTTTTTCCCCACCTTCTTCTTATGAGATAGGGGGTTACCTTGGCTTTTTGACACAGTGACAACCGGTGAACTCGATGAAGAGGCCACTTGAATTTGAGGAGGCCTTGAGTGGCGATGAAATGCTGCCGATCCTTGTTGCTAGGCAAAGATGCCACTTTGCTCTCCAAACAACTTGCTCCATGGCTATCACGACAAGGCTGATCCTTCTCCACTTGTGAGATGTCATTAGGCGAGTCGAGCACGAGTCGACCCACAATTTTCTTTCATCCTATCATCTCTAACGGTAGAGCCCGGAGCGACGGACTCATACATGCACGGAATAAGGTGAAGAGCTAGGCGAAATGGCTGGGGCTGCTGCGACGGTCCCGAGTAGGCACGGCGGGAGGAACCTCGACAACAACGGCAACGGGGGTCTTCACTGCCATTAAGACATCCCCTCCATTTTTGGGTTACGTCGAATTAAGCTGGTATACTCTTAGCCTTGCACGAATGCCCAAACACTTTGCAAGTTCCACGAACACTCGGCTTCCATTCATACTCGGCTGAAACCGATATAGGCTCGGAAGATAACCTACATTTCAGGCGAAAGGAGTGAACCATAGGCATCGAAGCATCCAGCTCAACACAAACCCGAGCATAATCAAGTCGAGTGCATCCTAGAGTTTGTTGGTCGGATGATAAAGGTCTTCCAACCATACTCGGTTGCCATACCTAATCCGGTCTCATTCCACGACGGAAAAGGCAATCCATGAAGTCGGATCCACGCTTGGAACCTTTGAAATTTTGGATTTGTCAAAAACAAAGTGGGGATGCCCTTTGTTGGAGAACAATGCTCTTACCTCCAAACATCCACGGTCCACTGCTCCATAACCAAATGGACATCCTCCTCTCTCTTGAAACGAAAAATCATGAAGCCTTGTCGTGTTGAGGAAACACTCTCGAGACCAGAATTTTTCCAAACCCGTTGAGCAATAGAGTTCACCGCATGGAATGGCATCGAGCACACTGGAAAGAAGCCAACTAAACATCGGCTCCATCGTGAAGAACTCTCATCAATGACGTGGTACGGAATTTCCAAAACGGTACCTATTGGTTGCCTTGGAAATGATGAGATTGAAGCTCGGGTTTTAGCACTAGACACTTTTACCCGATCAGCCCATGACCCACTAGGAGGGGTGGATATGGTGGTGGCATTCAGTTTGTGGGCGATTTGGGTGGTTTTCGGCTGACCGGTTGTGGCTGGTTTGGTGGGATTTTGGGTGGTGGTGGCGTTTTTTGTGGTGGAAGTGGATGCTGCTGCTGTTACTGTTCCGGCAGTCATTGTAGCAGTCTGTCTTCAATCCAAAAACCAATGAAATCAAATTCTGGACGGTGAGCACGTAGCCACTTGAGCTACGAATCTTCCCCCAAAGGTTTCACTCTCATCCAACGGTGGACGGCGGAGCGATTGCCCTGACGGCAACCGGCGACACAATTTCAGGTAGTCTCTGTTGGAAAGCGATAACGCCTCGCTCACAGCTCCAACCCCAATCTCCCCCGTTCAGAACCCGGATCCCAACTAGACACAGCTGTGGTAGAAAATTGAGCTCAATCCAACGGTTAACAAAGCCAAAATCTCCAAAACAATCAATGTTCTTTTGCCCAGAAAAACGGTAAAAACATCACAGAATACTCAGACGCCAATTTTCCTTGCTTCCCCAACTCTGATCTGCAAATCCTTCGGTCAGAATTCCGACGACAGCTACAGAAAACACATATCCAAATTTCAATTCAATCGGACGGCCTACGACGGAGTTATAGCTCCGACGGCGGTAACAATCGGACTGCCAATTCTTAGAGCTTTCCAACCCGTATGTTCCAGAGGTCGTAACTCCCTGGTCGACAATTAAACAGCAAATCCCTCCGGTGAGAAGGAAGCCCAGAGTCAGGCGAACAACATATCAAAATTTCAGTACGATCTGACGGTCGACGACGGCGATGAAGCTCCGGCAGCCGTGAGTCTCTGTCACTGACCTGCAGAGCGTTTTTCCTCCCCTAAACCCTAAACCCTAAACCCTAAACCCTAAACCCTAAACCCTAAACCCTAAACCCTAAACCCTAAACCCCAACCCCAAACCCCTAAGCCCTAAACCCTAAACCCTAAACCCTAAGCCCTAAGCCCTAAGCCCTAGGCCTAGGCCCTAACCCTAGAGCCCAAGCCACAAGCCTAGAGCCCCAGACCCAGGCCCTAGGCCCCTGAGCCCCAGAGCCCTAGGCCACAGACCCCTGAGCCCTAGGCCCAAGGCCCTGAGCCCTGAGCCCTAAGCCCTAGGCCTGAACCCTGACCCACAGGCCCTAGCCCCAGGCCCTAGACCCCTGACCCCTAGGCCCCAGACCACAAGCCCTAAGACCCTAGACCTAGACCCAGGCCCCAGGCCCCAGACCCCAGACCCTGGACCCCAGGCCCAGAGCCCTGAGCCTGACCCCAGGCCCCAGGCCCTGAGCCCTGAGCCCCAAGCCCTGACCAGAGCCCTAGACCCCAGGCCCCAGAGCCCCTGAGCCCCAGACCCCAGACCCTGAAGCCACAGGCCACGAGCCCACTGACACCACGGCCACCGGAGCCCAGGCCCACAGGCCACAGACCCTGAGCCCCAGGGCCTAGGCCCTAGGCCTGAAGCCCTAGGCCCCAGGCCCAGAGCCCCAGGCCCAGGCCACCAGGCCCAGGCCCCGAGCCCTGAAGCCCAGCCGCAGGCCGCCCGGAGCCCAGGCCACTGAGCCTGGCCCACAGGCCCCCGAGCCCTGAGCCCACAGGCCCCGAAGCCCGAGACCACAAGGCCACGAGGCCCACGGCCCTAAGGCCCTAGACCCCAGCCCCTGAAGCCCCTGAGCCCTGAACCCCAGAAGCCCCAGGCCCTGAACCCACAACCCACAAGCCCCAACCCACGAAGCCCCGAGCCCCAAGCCCTAGGCCCCAGACGGCCTAGCCCAGGCTAAGCCCTAGACCCCTGAGCCCCGAGCCACAGCAAACCCTGAGCCCAGAGCCCCCGAGCCCCAGGCCAAGCCACAAGCCCACGAGCCCTAGGCCCCGACCTGAGCCCGAAGCCCCTGAGCCCCAAACCCCAGGCCCAGGCCACAAGCCCCAGGCCCACGAGCCCCAGGCCCCGAGCCCCAGGCCCAAGCCCTGAGACCCCGAACCCCCAAACCCCAGAGCCCGAGCCCAGCCAGGCCCTGAGCCCAGGCCCTAGGCCAGGCCCCAGACCTGAGCCCTGACCCCAGACTGACCCCGAGCCCCGAACCCCAGGCCACAGGCCACTGACCCACCAGAGCCCCGGCCCTAGGCCACCAGGCCCCAGAGCCCCGGACCCCAGGCCTAGGCCCAGACCTGAGCCCCAGGCCCCAGACCTCAGACCCCAGGCCTAGAGCCCCAGACCCCTGAGCCTAGGCCTCCCAGGCCCTGAGCCCCAGACCCTAGACCCCAGAGCCCTGAGCCCCAGAGCCCCTAGGCCCCAGGCCCCAGGCCTAGGCCCCAGAGCCCCCAGAGCCCCAGAGCCTGAGGCCCTGAAGCCCCAGACCCCAGGCCCGAGGCCCAGGCCGCAAGCCCCAGACCACAGCCCCCAGACCCCACAGACCCCCGAGCCCCAGACCCTGAGCCTAGGCCCTAGAGCCACAAGGCCCCGTGCAGACCCCTGAGCCCACAAACCCCAACCCGGACCAGCCACAAGCCTACGACCCCCAGACCCCACAGGCCACAAGCCACTGACGCCACACAAGCCCTGGCCCTACAACCCCCAGACCTCGGCCACAAGCCTGAAGCCACAAGCCCCAGACCCTAGACCCCCCGACCCCCAGACCACCAGAAGCCTGAAGCCACTAGGCCTCGGCCACAAACCCCAGACCCCGAGCCACAGGCCACAAGCCCCAGGCCCTAGGCCCCGAGCCCCAGACCCCTGAGGCCACAGACCCCGAGACCCCGAGGCCACCACAGGCCCCAGCCCTAGGCCACTAAGCCCACGAGGCCCCAGAAACCCCAGAACCCTAAGGCCCCAGACCCTCGGCCCTAGGCCACAGGCCTAAGCCCTCGGCCCTGACCTACGAGCCACAGACCCTAGGCCTGAGCCACAGAGCCCTCGACCCTGAAGCCCTCAGGCCCTCGGCCCTCGGCCCTGGAGCCCCCGAGCCCTCGGCCACAAACCCTCGACCTCGACCACGGACCTAGGCCTGAACCACGACACCCAGGCCCACAGACCCCAGGCCCACAAACCACAGACCCTAGGCCCCCGAGCCCCCAAACCCCGAAGCCCGCGGCCCAGACCCCAGCCTACCTAGGCCACTGGCCACAGGCCTCGGGCCACCAGACCCCGAGGCCCTAGGCCCTCGACCCTCGGACCACAAACCCTCGAACCTGTGCCACAAACCACCAGACCCTAACCCCTGACACCAGGCACAGGCCTAGGCCTGAGCCCTAGGCCCCAGGCCCGGTGCTAGACCACTGGGCACAGCCCAGGAGCCCTAGGCCTGAGCCCAGGCCTCAGGCCACCAGGCCCCGAGGAGCCACATGACCTGAGGCCTGAGGCCCTGAGCCCTGAGCCGAGCCACGAGGCCACAGGCCACGAGGCCCCAGGCCCAGGCCACAGGCCACCTGAGCCACAGGCCACTGGGCCACAGGCCCCGAGCGCCAGAGGCCCTGAGCCCTGACCCTACTGAGGACCCCAGGAGCCCTGAGGCCACCAGGCCACCAGGCCACTGAAGCCCCGGCCACTGAGCCACAGGCCACTGGGCCACACAGGCCACTAGGCCACCAGGCCCGGGGCCCAGAGCCCACAGGGCCACTAGGCCCGAGGCCACACAGGCCACAGGCCCTGGGCCCTGGGCCACTGACCCAGGCCACTGACCTGGCCCCCAGGCCCAGACCTGAGCCCACGAGGCCCTGGAGCCCCGGACAGGGCCTGAGCCACAGGCCCAGGAGCCACAGAGACCCCAGGGCCCCGGGCCCCGGACCCCGGCCACCACAGGCCCCAGAGCCCCACGAACCCTAGGGCCCCAGGCCCCAGGCCCCAGGCAGGCCCCGGGCCTGAGCCCCAGGCCCCCGGGCCCCGAGCCCTGAAGCCTAAGCCCCAGACCCCAAGCCCACAGAGCCCTAGAGCCCAGGGCTGCAGGCCCTAAGCCCCCGGAGCCCCCAGGCCCGGGGCCCAGAGCCCCAGAGCCCTGAGCCCCGAGGCCACCAGGCCCAGGGCCCCAGAGCCACAGACCCCGACCAGGCCACAGACCACAGACGCCCAAGGCCACAGACCCAGAGCCCGAGGCCACAGGCCCCGAGGCCACAGGCCCCAGGCCACAGAGCCCCCAGGCCCGAGCCCCAGGCCCCAGGCCCCAGAGCCCTGAGGCCCCAGACCCTGAAGCCCTAGAGCCCTAGGGCCACAGGCCTAGACCCCAGGCCCACAGGCCTGAGCCCACGAGCCCCGAGGCCACCAAGCCACTGAACCTGAAGGCCCTAGGCCAGACCCACCAGGCCACAGGCCTAGGCCCGAGGCCACGGGCCACAGGCCCTGAGCCCTGGGCCCTGGGCCCTGAGCCCTAGGCCTGGGCCACTGGGCCCTGGGCCCTAGGCCCTGGGCCTGGGCCTGGGCCACTGAGCCCTGGGCCCTAGGCCTGGGCCCTGGGCCCTGGGCCCTGGGCCACAGGCCACAGGCCACTGGGCCCTGGGCCCTGGGCCACAGGCCTGGGCCACTGGGCCTGGGCCCTGGGCCCTGGGCCCTGGGCCTGGGCCACCAGGCCCTGGGCCCTGGGCCACTGGGCCCTGGGCCACTGGGCCCTGGGCCCTGAGGCCCTGGGCCTGGGCCACTAGGCCACAGGCCCTGGGCCCTGGGCCACAGGCCCTGGGCCCTGGGCCCTGGGCCCTGGGCCACAGGCCCTGGGCCCTGGGCCCTGGGCCACAGGCCCTGGGCCCTGGGCCCTGGGCCCTGGGCCACTGAGGCCCTGGGCCACTAGGCCCTGGGCCCTGGGCCACTGGGCCTGGGCCCCAGGCCCTGGGCCCCAGGCCACAGGCCCTGGGCCACAGGCCCTGGGCCTAGGCCCTGGGCCTGGGCCTGGGCCCTGGGCCCTGGGCCCTGGGCCTGGGCCCAGGCCCAGGCCCTGGGCCCCAGGCCCTGGGCCCTGGGCCACAGGCCCTGGGCCTGGGCCCTGGGCCACAGGCCACTGGGCCCTGGGCCACAGGCCACAGGCCCTGGGCCCTGGGCCCTGGGCCCTGGGCCACTGGGCCCTGGGCCCAGGGCCCTGGGCCCTGGGCCACTAGGCCCTGGGCCCTGGGCCCTGGGCCCTGGGCCCTGGGCCCTGGGCCCTGGGCCACAGGCCTGGGCCCTGGGCCCTGGGCCCTGGGCCACAGGCCCTGGGCCCAGGCCACAGGCCTGGGCCCTGGGCCACAGGCCACTGGGCCACTGGGCCCTGGGCCCTGGGCCACAGGCCCTGGGCCCTGGGCCCTGGGCCTGGGCCCTGGGCCACTGGGCCCTGGGCCCTGGGCCCTGGGCCCTGGGCCCTAGGCCACAGGCCCTGGGCCCTGAGCCCTGGGCCCTGAGCCCTAGGCCACTAGGCCCTAGGCCACTGAGGCCCTGGGCCCTGGGCCACAGGCCTAGGCCCTGAGGCCACTAGGCCCTAGGCCCTGAGCCCTGGGCCCTAGGCCCTGAGGCCACTGAGGCCCTAGGCCACTGAGCCCTAGGCCCTAGGCCACAGGCCTGAGGCCTAGGCCCTGAGCCCTGAGCCCTGAGCCCTGAGCCCAGGCCTAGGCCACAGGCCTGAGCCCTAGGCCCTAGGCCACTAGGCCCTGGGCCACTAGGCCCTGAGCCCTGGGCCTGAGCCCTGAGCCCTGAGCCTAGGCCACAGAGCCCTGGGCCCTGAGCCCTGAGCCACTAGGCCCCAGGCCACTAGGCCCTGAGCCTAGGCCACTAGGCCACTGAGCCCTGAGCCCTGAGGCCACTAGGCCACTGAGCCACTGAGGCCTAGGCCCTGAGCCACAGGCCACAGGCCTAGGCCCTGGGCCTAGGCCCAGGCCTAGGCCACTGAGCCACAGGCCACAGGCCACAGGCCACAGGCCACTGAGCCCTAGGCCACTGAGCCACTAGGCCTAGGCCCTGAGCCCTGGGCCCTGAGCCACTAGGCCACAGGCCTGAGCCCTAGGCCACTGAGCCACTGGGCCCTAGGCCACAGGCCACTGAGCCCCAGGCCACAGGCCACTGAGGCCTAGGCCCTGAGCCCTAGGCCCTGAGCCCTAGGCCTAGGCCCTGAGGCCACTGAGGCCTAGGCCCTAGGCCCTAGGCCCTGGGCCTAGGCCACTAGGCCCTAGGCCACTGAGCCCCAGGCCCTGGGCCCACTAGAGCCCCAGGCCACAGGCCCTGAGCCCTGGGCCTAGGCCACAGGCCTAGGCCTGAGGCCCTGGGCCACTGAGCCCCGGGCCCTGAGCCCTAGGCCACAGGCCCTGGGCCACTAGGCCACCAGGCCCTGAGGCCCTGAGCCCTAGGCCACTGAGCCCCAGGCCCTGGGCCACTAGGCCCTGAGGCCACTGGGCCACTGAGGCCCTGAGCCCAGGCCCTGGGCCTAGGCCCTGAGGCCCTAGGCCACAGGCCCTAGGCCACAGGCCTGAGCCCTGAGCCCTAGGCCACAGGCCACTGAGCCTGAGGCCCTGAGCCCCAGGCCACAGGCCACAGGCCTGAGCCCTAGGCCACAGGCCCTGAGCCCAGGCCTAGGCCACCAGGCCACTAGGCCTAGGCCCACAGGCCACAGAGCCCTAGGCCACCAGGCCCTGGGCCTAGGCCCTGAGCCTGAGCCTGAGCCCTGAGCCCAGGCCTAGGCCTAGGCCACAGGCCTAGGCCACTGAGCCCTGAGCCTGAGGCCTAGGCCACTGAGCCCAGGCCCTGAGGCCCTAGGCCTAGGCCTAGGCCCTAGGCCTAGGCCCTAGGGCCCAGGCCTGAGGCCACTGAGCCCAGAGCCACCAGGCCACTGAGCCCCAGGCCACTGGGCCCTAGGCCACAGGCCCTGGGCCACAGGAGCCCTGGGCCACAGGCCCTAGGCCACAGGCCACAGGCCACTGAGCCACTAGGCCTGAGCCCTGAGCCTGGGCCTGAGCCCTAGGCCACAGGCCACAGGCCCTGAGCCCTGGGCCACAGGCCTAGGCCCTAGGCCACCAGGCCACTAGAGCCCTGAGCCCAGGGCCTGAGGCCCTAGGCCCCAGGCCACTGAGCCCACAGGCCCAGGCCTGAGCCCTGAGCCCTGGGCCACCAGGCCCTGAGCCATGAGCCCAAGACCTGGGCCACTAGGCCCTGAGCCACTGAGCCTGGGCCCTGAGCCCTGGGCCTGGGCCCTGGGCCCTAGGCCCTGGGCCACTGAGGCCCTGAGCCCTGGGCCACTGAGCCCCAGGCCACCAGGCCACCAGGCCTAGGCCACTGAGCCCTAGGCCCTGAGCCTAGGCCACTGAGCCACTAGGCCCTGAGCCTAGGCCACCAGGCCCTAGGCCCTGAGGCCACTGAGCCCTGGGCCCTGGGCCTAGGCCCCTGGGCCACCAGGCCCTGGGCCACTGAGCCCTGGGCCCTGAGCCCTAGGCCCCAGGCCACAGGCCACCAGGCCTGAGGCCACAGAGCCCTAGGGCCCTAGGCCCCAGGCCCTGGGCCTAGGCCCTAGAGCCCTAGGCCACTGAGCCCCAGGCCACTGGGCCCTAGGCCACTGAGGCCCTGAGCCCTGAGCCCTAGGCCACTGAGCCCTAGGCCACAGGCCTGGGCCCTGAGCCCTGGGCCCTAGGCCACTGAGCCCTAGGCCCTGAGCCCTGAGCCCTAGGCCCTGAGCCCTGGGCCACAGGCCACAGGCCACCAGGCCTAGGCCCTGGGCCACAGGCCACTGAGCCCTGGGCCACTGAGCCTAGGCCTAGGCCCTGAGCCCTGAGCCTGGGCCCTGGGCCACAGGCCTAGGCCACTGAGCCCTGGGCCACTGAGCCCTGACACAGGCCCTGAGCCCTAGGCCTGGGCCTGAGCCCTGAGCCTAGGCCTAGGCCACTAGGCCCTGAGCCACTGAGCCACACTGGCCACAGGCCACTGAGCCTGAGCCTGGGCCCTGGGCCCTAGGCCACTGAGCCTGGGCCACTGGGCCCTGGGCCCTGAGCCCTGGCCCTGAGCCCTAGGCCACAGGCCACTGGGCCCTGGGCCACCAGGCCTAGGCCCTGGGCCCTGGGCCCTGGGCCTGGGCCTAGGCCACAGGCCCTGGGCCACTGGGCCCTGGGCCTAGGCCCTGGGCCCTGGGCCCTGACCAGGCCTGGGCCTGGCCACTGGGCCACAGGCCCTGGGCCACAGGCCCTGAGCCCTGGGCCACTGAGCCCAGGCCACAGGCCCTGGGCCCTGGGCCCTGAGGCCTAGGCCCTGGGCCCTGGGCCCTGGGCCACTGGGCCCTGGGCCACCAGGCCCACGGCCCTGAGCCCTGGGCCACAGGCCACTAGGCCCTAGGCCACAGGCCACTGAGCCCTGAGCCCTAGGCCCTGGGCCATAGGCCACTGAGCCCAGGCCCTGGGCCACTGAGGCCTGGGCCCTGAGCCAGGCCCTGGGCCCTGAGCCCTGGGCCACAGGCCTAGGCCTAGGCCACTGAGCCCTGGGCCTAGGCCACAGGCCTAGGCCACTGAGCCCCAGGCCTGAGCCACTGAGCCTAGGCCACTGAGCCCTGGGCCACTAGGCCTAGGCCCTAGGCCCAGGCCACTGGGCCCTGGGCCACAGGCCTGGGCCCTGGGCCACAGGCCACTGAGCCCGAGGCCCTGGGCCCTGGGCCCTGGGCCCTGGGCCACAGGCCTGAGCCCTAGGCCCTGGGCCACTGAGCCCTGAGCCCTGAGCCCAGGCCCAGGCCACTGGCCACAGGCCACTGAGCCCTAGGCCACAGGCCACAGGCCCTAGGCCCTAGGCCCTAGGCCCTGGGCCACAGGAGCCTGGGCCACTGAGCCCTGGGCCCTGAGCCCTGGGCCACAGGCCCCGAGGCCCTGAGCCACTGGGCCACCAGGCCACTGAGCCACAGGCCCTGAGCCCAGGCCACCAGGCCACTGAGCCCTGGGCCACCTGAGCCCTGGGCCACTGAGGCCACCAGGCCACTAGGCCCTGGAGCCTGGGCCACAGGCCAGCCCTGGGCCACTGAGCCCTGGGCCACAGGCCACTGAGCCCTAGGCCCTAGGCCTAGGCCACAGGCCACAGGCCACTGAGCCACTGAGCCCTGGGCCACAGGCCACTGAGCCCTGGGCCTAGGCCTGAGCCCTGAGCCTGAGCCTAGGCCCTCAGGCCCTAGGCCACAGGCCCTGGGCCCTAGGCCCAGACCCTGAGCCCTGAGGCCCCAGGCCCAGGCCCTGAGGCCCTAGGCCACTGAGGCCCTAGGCCCTGAGGCCCTAGGCCCTGGGCCACAGGCCACTGAGCCCTGAGCCCTGAGCCACTGAGCCCTGGGCCCAGGCCCTGAGCCCTGAGGCCACTGAGCCCTGAGCCACTGAGCCACTGAGCCTAGGCCTAGGCCCTGAGCCACTGAGCCCTGGGCCACTGAGCCTAGGCCACCAGGCCACTGAGCCTGAGCCCTGGGCCCTGAGCCCTGAGCCCTGGGCCCTAGGCCACTAGGCCCTGAGCCCTAGGCCCTGGGCCACAGGCCCTGGGCCCTGAGGCCCTGAGCCTAGGCCACTGAGCCCTAGGCCACAGGCCTAGGCCACAGGCCCTAGGCCCTGGGCCACTGGGCCCTGAGGCCTAGGCCACTGAGCCCTGGGCCCTGGGCCACAGGCCACTAGGCCACTAGGCCACTGAGCCACTGAGCCCTGAGCCCTAGGCCACTGAGCCTGAGCCCTGAGGCCACAGGCCTGGGCCACTAGGCCACAGGCCACTGAGCCCTGGGCCCTAGGCCCTGAGCCCTGAGCCACTGGCCACAGGCCCTGAGGCCCTAGGCCACTAGGCCCCAGGCCACTAGGCCCTGGGCCCTAGGCCACAGGCCCTGGGCCCTGGGCCACTAGGCCCTGAGCCCAGGCCCTAGGCCCTGAGCCCTAGGCCCTGAGCCACAGGCCCTGAGGCCACTGGGCCACAGGCCTAGGCCCTGGGCCCCCAGGCCCTGGGCCTAGGCCCTGGGCCCTGAGCCCAGGCCTGGGCCACCAGAGCCCCTGAGCCCTAGGCCCTGAGCCCCAGGCCACTGAGCCCTGAGCCCTAGGCCACAGAGCCACTGAGCCACAGGCCACCAGGCCCTAGGCCACAGGCCCTAGGCCCTGAGCCCTAGGCCTGGGCCACAGGCCTAGGCCCTGAGCCCCAGGCCCTGAGCCCGAGCCCTAGGCCCTGAGCCCCAGGCCCCTGAGCCCTAGGCCACAGGCCCTAGGCCCTGAGCCACTGAGCCCTAGGCCCTAGGCCCTGAGCCCTGGGCCACAGGCCCTAGGCCACAGGCCCCAGGCCCTAGGCCCCAGGCCCTAGGCCCCAGGCCCTGAGGCCACAGGCCACTGAGCCCCAGGCCCTGAGCCCTAGGCCACCAGGCCCTAGGCCCTGGGCCCTAGGCCCTGGGCCACAGGCCACTGAGCCCTGGGCCCTGAGCCCTGAGCCCTGAGCCCTGAGCCCTAGGCCACTGAGCCACAGGCCCTGAGCCCTGGGCCCTGGGCCACTGAGCCCTAGGCCACAGGCCACAGGCCTGAGCCCTGAGCCACTGAGCCTAGGCCTAGGCCACAGGCCCTGAGCCTGAGCCCTAGGCCACTGAGCCCTGGGCCCTGGGCCACTGAGCCCTGAGCCCTAGGCCACTGAGCCCTAGGCCACTAGGCCACTAGGCCACAGGCCCTAGGCCCTGAGCCCTGGGCCACAGGCCACTGAGCCTGGGCCCAGGCCCTGAGCCCTGAGGCCCTGGGCCCTAGGCCCTGAGCCCCAGGCCACTGAGCCACTGAGGCCCTGAGCCCTAGGCCACTGAGCCACAGGCCACAGGCCCTAGGCCCTGGGCCCTGGGCCACAGGCCCTAGGCCCTGGGCCCTGAGCCACAGGCCCTGAGCCTAGGCCACTGAGCCCTAGGCCCTGGGCCACCAGGCCACAGGCCACAGGCCTAGGCCCTGGGCCCTGAGCCCTGAGCCACTGGGCCACTGAGCCCTGGGCCACAGGCCTGAGCCCTGGGCCCTAGGCCACTAGGCCCTGGGCCCTGGGCCACTGGGCCCTGGGCCACTAGGCCCTGGGCCACTAGGCCACTGGGCCCTGGGCCACAGGCCACTGGGCCACTAGGCCCTGGGCCACTAGGCCCTGGGCCACTAGGCCACTGGGCCCTAGGCCCTGGGCCACTGAGCCACTGAGCCCTGGGCCACTGAGGCCCTGGGCCACTAGGCCCTGGGCCCTGAGCCTGAGCCCTGGGCCCTGGGCCACAGGCCCTGGGCCCTGAGCCCTAGGCCCTGGGCCCTGGGCCCTAGGCCACTGGGCCCTGAGCCCTGAGCCCTAGGCCCTGAGCCCTGGGCCACTGAGGCCACAGGCCCTGGGCCCTAGGCCCTGAGGCCACAGGCCACTGAGCCCTGGGCCCTAGGCCACAGGCCCTAGGCCACTGAGCCCTGGGCCCTGAGCCCTGAGCCTGGGCCACTAGGCCCTGAGCCACAGGCCACAGGCCCTGGGCCCTAGGCCCTGAGCCCTGGGCCCTGGGCCCTGGGCCACAGGCCCTGAGCCCTGGGCCCTGAGCCCTAGGCCCTGAGCCCTGGGCCACAGGCCTAGGCCCTGAGCCCTGGGCCACTGAGCCCTGGGCCCTGAGCCACTGAGCCCTAGGCCACAGGCCCTGGGCCACTAGGCCCTGGGCCCTGGGCCACCAGGCCCTGGGCCACAGGCCCTGGGCCCTAGGCCCTGGGCCACTGGGCCCTGAGCCCTGGGCCACTGAGCCCTAGGCCCTGAGCCCAGAGCCTGGGCCCTGGGCCTGGGCCCTGGGCCACAGGCCTGAGGCCCTGGGCCTAGGCCACTGAGCCCTGAGCCCAGGCCCTGAGCCCTGGGCCCTGGGCCACTGGGCCACTGGGCCCTGGGCCACTGAGCCCTGGGCCCAGGCCCTGGGCCCTGAGCCCTAGGCCCTGAGCCTAGGCCACAGGCCTGGGCCCTGGGCCCTGGGCCCTGGGCCCTGGGCCCTGGGCCACTAGGCCACTGAGCCCTAGGCCCTGGGCCCCAGGCCCTGGGCCCTAGGCCCTGGGCCCTGGGCCACAGGCCCTAGGCCCTGGGCCACTGGGCCCTGGGCCACAGGCCCTGGGCCCTGGGCCCTAGGCCCTAGGCCTAGGCCACTGGGCCACAGGCCCTGGGCCACTGAGCCCTGGGCCCTGGGCCCTGGGCCTGGGCCACAGGCCACAGGCCCTGGGCCCTGGGCCCTGAGCCTAGGCCCTGGGCCCTGGGCCACTAGGCCCTGGGCCACAGGCCCTGGGCCACTGAGCCCTGGGCCCTGGGCCACTGAGCCCCAGGCCCAGGCCCTGGGCCCTGGGCCCTGAGCCCTGGGCCACAGGCCCTGGGCCCTGGGCCTAGGCCCTGGGCCCTAGGCCCCAGGCCCTGGGCCCTGGGCCCTGGGCCCCAGGCCCAGGCCCTGGGCCACAGGCCCTGAGCCCTGGGCCCTAGGCCACAGGCCTAGGCCCTGAGCCCTAGGCCCTGGGCCACAGGCCCTGAGCCCTAGGCCCTAGGCCCTGGGCCACAGGCCCTGAGCCCTGGGCCACAGGCCCTGAGCCCTGGGCCCTGAGCCCTAGGCCCTAGGCCCTGAGCCTAGGCCCTGAGCCCAGGCCCTGGGCCTAGGCCCTGAGCCCTGGGCCCAGGCCCTAGGCCCTGGGCCCTGGGCCCCAGGCCCTAGGCCACTGAGCCCTAGGCCCTAGGCCCTGGGCCACAGGCCCTGAGCCCTAGGCCCTGGGCCCTGAGGCCCTGAGCCTAGGCCCTGGGCCACTGAGCCCCAGGCCACTAGGCCTAGGCCCTAGGCCCTGGGCCCTAGGCCCTGAGCCACTGGGCCACTGAGCCACTAGGCCCTGGGCCCTAGGCCCTGGGCCCTGGGCCACAGGCCCTGGGCCCTGAGCCCTAGGCCCTGAGCCCTGGGCCACAGGCCCTGGGCCCAGGCCCTGGGCCACTAGGCCCTGGGCCACAGGCCTAGGCCCTGGGCCTGAGGCCACTGGGCCCTAGGCCCTGGGCCACTGAGGCCCTGGGCCCTGGGCCCTGGGCCCCAGGCCCTGGGCCCTGGGCCCTGGGCCCTGGGCCACTAGGCCCTAGGCCACTAGGCCCTGGGCCACAGGCCCTGGGCCTAGGCCCTAGGCCCTGAGCCCCAGGCCCTGGGCCACTAGGCCCTGGGCCCTGAGCCCTAGGCCCTGGGCCCTGGGCCCTGGGCCACAGGCCCTGGGCCTAGGCCCAGGCCCTAGGCCCTGGGCCCCAGGCCACAGGCCACTGAGCCCTGAGCCCTGGGCCCTGGGCCCTAGGCCCTAGGCCCTGGGCCCTGGGCCTGAGCCCTGGGCCACAGGCCCTGGGCCCTGGGCCCTGGGCCCTGGGCCCTGGGCCCTGGGCCACTGAGCCCAGGCCCTGGGCCACTAGGCCCTGGGCCCTAGGCCCTGGGCCACAGGCCCTGAGCCCTGGGCCACTGGGCCCTGGGCCCTGGGCCCTGGGCCCTGAGCCCTAGGCCACAGGCCCTGGGCCACTGGGCCCTGGGCCCTGGGCCACAGGCCCTGGGCCCTGGGCCCTGAGCCCTAGGCCACAGGCCCTGAGCCCTGGGCCCTGGGCCCAGGCCCTGGGCCCTGGGCCACTAGGCCCTGAGCCCTGAGGCCACAGGCCCTAGGCCCTAGGCCACTGGGCCCTGGGCCACTGGGCCCTGGGCCCTGGGCCACAGGCCCTAGGCCCTGGGCCCTGGGCCACTGGGCCACTAGGCCCTGAGCCCTGGGCCCTAGGCCACTGGGCCCTGGGCCCTGGGCCCTGGGCCTAGGCCCTGGGCCCTGGGCCCTGGGCCACAGGCCTAGGCCCTGAGCCCTGGGCCCTGGGCCCTGGGCCTGGGCCCTGGGCCCTGGGCCCTAGGCCCTGGGCCACAGGCCACTGAGCCCTGGGCCCTGGGCCCTGGGCCCTGGGCCCTGAGGCCACTGGGCCCTGGGCCCTGAGCCCTGGGCCACTGAGCCACAGGCCACTGAGCCCTGGGCCACTAGGCCCTGGGCCCTGGGCCCTGGGCCCCAGGCCCTGGGCCACTGGGCCCTGGGCCCTGAGGCCCTGGGCCCTGAGCCCTGGGCCCTGGGCCACTGAGCCCTGGGCCACAGGCCCTAGGCCCTGGGCCCTGGGCCACTAGGCCCTGGGCCACTGAGCCCTAGGCCACAGGCCCTGAGGCCCTGGGCCCTGGGCCCTGGGCCACAGGCCCTGGGCCCTGGGCCACTGGGCCCTGAGCCCTGGGCCACTGGGCCCTGGGCCCTAGGCCCTGAGGCCCTAGGCCCTGGGCCACTGGGCCCTGGGCCACCAGGCCCTGGGCCCTGGGCCCTGGGCCCTGGGCCCTGGGCCACAGGCCCTGGGCCCTGGGCCACTGGGCCCTGGGCCCTGGGCCCTGGGCCACAGGCCCTGAGCCCTGAGCCCTGGGCCACAGGCCCTGGGCCCTGGGCCTAGGCCCTGGGCCCAGGCCCAGGCCCTGGGCCCTAGGCCACAGGCCCTGGGCCCAGGCCCTGGGCCCTGGGCCTGAGCCCTGGGCCCTGGGCCCTGGGCCCTGGGCCCTGGGCCACAGGCCCTGGGCCCTGGGCCTGGGCCCTGGGCCACAGGCCCTGGGCCCTGGGCCCTGGGCCCTGGGCCACAGGCCACTGGGCCCTGGGCCTAGGCCTGGGCCCTGGGCCACAGGCCCTGGGCCCTGGGCCCTGAGGCCCTGGGCCCTGGGCCCTGGGCCACAGGCCCTGGGCCCTGGGCCCTGGGCCCTGGGCCCTAGGCCTGGGCCCTGAGCCCTGGGCCCTGGGCCACTGAGCCCTGGGCCCAGGCCCTGGGCCCTGGGCCCTGGGCCCTGGGCCCTGGGCCTGGGCCACTGGGCCCTGGGCCCAGGCCTAGGCCCTGGGCCCTGGGCCACTGGGCCCTGGGCCACAGGCCCTGGGCCCTGGGCCCTGGGCCCTGGGCCCTGGGCCCTGGGCCACAGGCCCTGGGCCCTGGGCCTAGGCCACAGGCCCTGAGCCCTAGGCCCAGGCCCTGGGCCCTGGGCCACTGGGCCCTGGGCCCTGAGCCCTGGGCCCTGGGCCACAGGCCCTGGGCCCTGGGCCCTGGGCCACAGGCCACTGGGCCACTGGGCCTGGGCCCTGGGCCCTGGGCCCTGGGCCCAGGCCCTGGGCCACAGGCCCTGGGCCCTGGGCCCTGGGCCCTGGGCCCTGGGCCCTGAGGCCCTGGGCCCAGGCCCTGGGCCCTGGGCCCTGGGCCCTGGGCCACTAGGCCCTGGGCCTAGGCCTGAGCCCTGAGCCCTGGGCCACTGGGCCACTGGGCCCTGGGCCCTGGGCCCTGGGCCCTGGGCCACAGGCCCTGGGCCCTGGGCCCTGAGCCCTGGGCCCTGGGCCCTAGGCCCTGGGCCACAGGCCCTGGGCCACAGGCCCTGGGCCCTGGGCCACAGGCCACAGGCCCTGGGCCCTGGGCCCTGGGCCCAGGCCCTGGGCCCTGAGCCTAGGCCCTGGGCCCAGGCCTAGGCCCTAGGCCCTGGGCCCAGGCCTGAGCCCTGGGCCACAGGCCCTGGGCCCTGGGCCCAGGCCCTGGGCCCTGGGCCCTGAGCCCTGGGCCCTGGGCCACAGGCCACAGGCCACTAGGCCCTGGGCCCTGGGCCCAGGCCACTGAGCCCTAGGCCCTGGGCCACAGGCCCTGGGCCTGGGCCACTGGGCCCTGGGCCCTGGGCCACAGGCCCTGGGCCACTAGGCCCTAGGCCCTGGGCCACTAGGCCCTGGGCCACAGGCCCTGGGCCCTGGGCCCTGGGCCACTAGGCCTGAGGCCCTGGGCCCTGGGCCCTAGGCCACTGAGCCCTGGGCCCTGGGCCCTGGGCCACTAGGCCACTAGGCCCTGGGCCCTGGGCCACAGGCCCTAGGCCCTGGGCCCTGGGCCCTAGGCCCAGGCCCTGGGCCCTGGGCCCTGGGCCCTGAGCCCTAGGCCCTAGGCCTAGGCCCTGAGCCCTAGGCCCTAGGCCCTGAGCCCTAGGCCACAGGCCACTGGGCCCTGGGCCTAGGCCACTGAGCCCTGGGCCACTGGGCCCTGGGCCCTGGGCCCCAGGCCCTGGGCCCTGGGCCACTGGGCCACTGAGCCCTAGGCCCTGAGCCCTGGGCCCTGGGCCCTAGGCCACAGGCCCTGGGCCCTAGGCCTAGGCCCTAGGCCACTAGGCCACAGGCCCTGGGCCACTAGGCCCTGAGCCCTGGGCCCTAGGCCCTGAGCCCTAGGCCCTGGGCCACTGAGCCCTAGGCCCTGGGCCACAGGCCCTGGGCCCTGGGCCCTGAGCCCTGGGCCCTGAGCCCTGGGCCCTAGGCCCTAGGCCCTGAGCCCTGGGCCCTGGGCCCTAGGCCACTGAGCCCTAGGCCCTGGGCCTAGGCCCTGGGCCCTGGGCCACTGAGCCCTGAGCCCTGGGCCCTAGGCCCAGGCCCTAGGCCCTCGAGCCCTAGGCCACTGAGCCCTGGGCCTAGGCCCTAGACCCTGGGCCCTAGGCCCTGGACCCTGAGCCCTGGGCCCTCGACCCTGAGCCCTGAGCCCTGGGCCACTGAGCCCTAGGCCCTAGGCCCTGAGCCCTGAGCCACCAGGCCACTGGGCCTAGGCCACAGGCCCTAGGCCACTGAGCCCTAGGCCACTGAGCCACTGAGCCCTGGGCCCTGGGCCACTGAGCCCTGGGCCCTGGGCCTAGGCCACTGAGCCCTGGGCCTAGGCCACAGGCCACTGGGCCCTGGGCCACAGGCCCTAGGCCACTGAGCCCTAGGCCACAGGCCCTGAGCCTGGGCCCTGGGCCCTAGGCCACCAGGCCCTGGGCCCTAGGCCCTGGGCCACTGAGCCCTGGGCCACTGAGCCCTGGGCCACAGGCCCTGGGCCCTGGGCCCTGGGCCCTGGGCCTAGGCCCTGGGCCACTGGGCCACTGGGCCTAGGCCACTGAGCCACTGGGCCCTGGGCCCTGAGCCCTAGGCCCTGAGCCCTGAGCCCTGAGCCACAGGCCTGGGCCCTGGGCCCTGAGCCCTGGGCCCTAGGCCCTGGGCCCTGGGCCCTAGGCCCTGAGCCTGAGCCCTGGGCCCTGGGCCACTGAGCCCTGGGCCACAGGCCCTGGGCCCTGGGCCCTAGGCCCTAGGCCCTGGGCCACTGAGCCCTGGGCCACTAGGCCCTGGGCCACTGAGCCTAGGCCTAGGCCCTGAGCCCTAGGCCCTGGGCCACTAGGCCACTAGGCCCTGGGCCCTGGGCCCCAGGCCCCAGGCCCTGGGCCACAGGCCCTGGGCCCAGGCCCTAGGCCCCAGGCCCTAGGCCACTGAGCCCCAGGCCCAGGCCCCAGACCTGAGCCCTAGGCCACTGAGCCACTAGGCCCTAGGCCTAGGCCACTAGGCCTAGGCCTAGGCCCCAGGCCACAGGCCACTGGGCCACAGGCCCTGAGGCCCTAGGCCACTGAGCCCTGGGCCCTGGGCCACTAGGCCACAGGCCCTGGGCCACAGGCCCTGGGCCCTGAGCCCTGGGCCCCAGGCCCTGAGCCCTGGGCCCCAGACCCCAGGCCACAGGCCCTAGGCCCTAGGCCCCAGGCCCCAGACCCCAGGCCCCAGGCCCTAGGCCCCAGGCCCTGAGCCTAGGCCCAGACCCTAGGCCCTAGGCCCCAGACCCCAGACCCCAGACCCCAGGCCCCAGAGCCCTAGGCCCAGACCCTGAGCCCCAGGCCCCAGGCCCTAGGCCCTAGGCCCTAGGCCCCAGAGCCCCAGGCCCCAGGCCCTAGGCCCTAGGCCCTGGGCCACTGAGCCCTGAGCCCTAGGCCACAGGCCCTGGGCCCAGGCCCTGAGCCTAGGCCCTGGGCCCTGAGCCCTGAGCCTAGGCCACAGGCCCTGGGCCCCAGGCCACAGGCCCTAGGCCCTGAGCCCTGGGCCACAGGCCCTGGGCCCAGGCCCTGGGCCACAGGCCCTGGGCCCTAGGCCCTAGGCCACAGGCCTGAGCCCTGGGCCACAGGCCCTAGGCCACAGGCCCTGAGCCCTGGGCCACAGGCCCTGGGCCACAGGCCCTGGGCCCTGGGCCCTAGGCCCTGAGGCCTGGGCCACAGGCCACAGGCCCTGGGCCCTGGGCCCTGGGCCCTGGGCCACCAGGCCCTGGGCCCAGGCCTGAGGCCCTGAGCCCTGAGGCCACTGAGCCCTAGGCCCTGAGGCCCTAGGCCTAGGCCCTGAGCCCTGGGCCACAGGCCACTGAGCCCTGAGCCCTAGGCCCTAGGCCACTGAGCCCTGAGCCCTAGGCCCTGAGCCTAGGCCACAGGCCCTGAGCCCTGGGCCACAGGCCCTAGGCCACTAGGCCCTGAGCCCTGGGCCACTGAGGCCCTAGGCCCTGGGCCACAGGCCCTAGGCCACTGAGCCCTAGGCCCTGAGCCCTAGGCCCTAGGCCACTAGGCCCTGAGCCACAGGCCCTGGGCCCTGAGCCCCAGGCCACTAGGCCCTGAGCCCTAGGCCCTGAGCCCTAGGCCCTAGGCCACTGAGCCCTAGGCCCTAGGCCCTAGGCCCTGAGCCCTGGGCCCTAGGCCACTGAGCCCTAGGCCACTGAGCCCTAGGCCACTGAGCCCTGGGCCCTAGGCCCTGGGCCCTAGGCCCTAGGCCCCAGGCCCTGAGCCCTGAGCCCTGAGCCCTAGGCCCTAGGCCACTGAGCCCTAGGCCACTAGGCCACTAGGCCCTGAGCCACCAGGCCTGAGCCCTAGAGCCCTGAGCCACTAGGCCACTGAGGCCCTGAGCCCTGGGCCACTGAGCCCTGGGCCCTAGGCCCTGAGCCCTGAGCCCAGGCCACTAGGCCCTAGGCCTAGGCCACTGAGGCCACTGGGCCACTGAGGCCACCAGGCCCTGAGCCCCAGGCCCTGAGCCCTGAGCCCCAGGCCCTAGGCCCTAGGCCACAGGCCCTGGGCCCTAGGCCACAGGCCACAGGCCCTGAGCCACTGAGCCCTGAGCCCCAGGCCCCAGGCCACTAGGCCCTCAGGCCTGAGCCCTAGGCCACTGAGCCACAGGCCACTGAGCCCTAGGCCCTAGGCCCTGAGCCCCAGGCCCTAGGCCACAGGCCCTGGGCCACAGGCCCTAGGCCACAGGCCCCAGGCCCTGGGCCCTGAGCCCTAGGCCACAGGCCCCAGGCCCTAGGCCCCAGGCCCTAGGCCCTGAGCCCTGAGCCCCAGGCCCTGAGCCCTAGGCCCTAGGCCCCAGGCCACTGAGCCCTAGGCCCTGAGCCCCAGGCCACTGAGCCCTAGGCCCTAGGCCACTGAGCCCCAGGCCCTGAGCCCTGAGCCCTAGGCCACAGGCCCTGAGCCCCAGGCCCTAGGCCCTGGGCCCTGAGCCTAGGCCCTAGGCCCCAGAGCCCTAGGCCCAGGCCCTGGGCCCTAGGCCCTAGGCCACTGAGCCCTAGGCCACTAGGCCACTGAGCCACTAGGCCCTAGGCCCTAGGCCCTGAGCCCTAGGCCACAGGCCACCAGGCCCTAGGCCACAGGCCCTAGGCCCTGAGCCCCAGGCCCTGAGCCACAGGCCACTAGGCCCTGAGCCCTAGGCCCTAGGCCACTAGGCCCTGAGCCCAGGCCCCAGGCCCCAGACCCTGAGCCCTAGGCCCCAGGCCCTGAGCCCCAGGCCACAGGCCCTGAGCCCTAGAGCCCTAGGCCCCAGAGCCCCAGAGCCACTGAGCCCTAGGCCCTGAGGCCCTGAGCCCTAGGCCCCAGGCCACTGAGCCCTAGGCCCTGAGCCCCAGGCCACTGAGCCCTAGGCCACTAGGCCCTGGGCCCTAGGCCCTGAGCCCTGAGCCCCAGGCCCCAGAGCCCTGGGCCACAGGCCACTAGGCCACTAGGCCCAGGCCCCGAGGCCCTGGGCCACAGGCCCTGAGCCCCAGGCCCTAGGCCCTGGGCCACGAGCCCTGGGCCACTGAGCCCCAGGCCCCAGGCCACAGGCCCTGGGCCCTAGGCCACAGGCCCTGAGCCCTAGGCCCTAGGCCACAGGCCCTGGGCCACAGGCCCTGAGCCCTGAGGCCACAGGCCACTGAGCCCTAGGCCCTAGGCCACAGGCCCTGAGGCCCTGAGCCCTGGGCCACAGGCCCTAGGCCCTGAGGCCCTGGGCCACCAGGCCCTGAGCCCTGAGCCACAGGCCCTAGGCCACTGAGCCCTAGGCCACAGGCCACTGAGCCTAGGCCCTGAGCCCAGGCCACTGAGCCCTGGGCCACAGGCCCTGGGCCACAGGCCCTGGGCCCTGGGCCCTAGGCCACAGGCCACTGAGCCCTAGGCCACAGGCCCTGGGCCACAGGCCACTGAGCCCTAGGCCCTAGGCCACTAGGCCACTGAGCCCTAGGCCCTGAGGCCACTGAGCCCTGAGCCACTAGGCCACTGAGCCACTAGGCCACAGGCCACAGGCCCTGAGGCCACTGAGCCCTGAGCCCTAGGCCACTAGGCCACAGGCCACTAGGCCACTGAGCCCTAGGCCCTGAGCCCTAGGCCACTGAGCCCTAGGCCCCAGGCCCTAGGCCCTGAGGCCACAGGCCCTGAGCCCTAGGCCACTGAGCCCTAGGCCCTCGAGCCCTAGGCCACTGAGCCCTCGACCCTAGGCCCTGAGCCCTAGGCCCTGAGCCACTAGGCCCTGAGCCACTGAGCCACTGAGCCCTAGACCCTGAGCCCTCGACCCTGAGCCACAGGCCCTGAGCCCTGAGCCACTAGGCCCTGAGCCCTGAGCCCTAGGCCCTAGGCCCTGAGCCCTAGGCCTGAGCCCTAGGCCTAGGCCCAGGCCACTGAGCCACTAGGCCACAGGCCACAGGCCCTGAGGCCACTGAGCCCTGAGCCACTGAGCCCTGGGCCACAGGCCACAGGCCCTGGGCCCTGAGCCCTGAGCCCAGGCCACTGAGCCCTGAGCCCTGGGCCCTGAGCCCTGGGCCACCAGGCCACAGGCCCTGGGCCACAGGCCCTGAGCCCTAGGCCCTAGGCCACTGAGCCCTAGGCCCTGAGCCACAGGCCACAGGCCACAGGCCACTGAGCCCTAGGCCACTAGGCCCTGAGCCCTGAGCCCTAGGCCACTAGGCCACTGGGCCCTGGGCCCTGAGCCCTAGGCCACTGAGCCCTAGGCCCTGGGCCCTGAGCCCTAGGCCACTGAGCCCTAGGCCACAGGCCCTGAGCCCTGAGCCCTAGGCCACTGGGCCACAGGCCCTGGGCCACAGGCCCTGAGCCCTGGGCCACTGAGCCCTGGGCCCTAGGCCACTGAGCCCTGGGCCACAGGCCCTAGGCCCTGAGGCCACCAGGCCCTGGGCCACTGGGCCCTAGGCCTGGGCCACAGGCCACTGAGCCCTGGGCCCTAGGCCACTGGGCCTGAGGCCACTGAGCCACCAGGCCCTAGGCCCTGGGCCCTGGGCCACTGGGCCCTGAGCCCTGAGGCCCTGAGCCCTAGGCCCCAGGCCACTGAGCCCTGAGCCCTGAGGCCCTAGGCCCTGAGGCCCTGGGCCACAGGCCCTGAGCCACCAGGCCACTGAGGCCACAGGCCACAGGCCCTGGGCCACCAGGCCACAGGCCCTGAGCCCTGAGCCCTGGGCCCTGGGCCCTAGGCCACAGGCCACTAGGCCACAGGCCACTAGGCCACTAGGCCACTGAGCCCTAGGCCACTGGGCCACTGGGCCCTGGGCCCTGGGCCACTAGGCCCTGGGCCACTGGGCCCTGAGCCTAGGCCCTGAGCCCTGGGCCACTGGGCCCTGGGCCCTGGGCCCTGAGGCCACAGGAGCCCTGGGCCACTGAGCCCTGGGCCACTAGGCCACTAGGCCCTGAGGCCACAGGCCACTAGGCCACTGAGCCACAGGCCACTGGGCCACTAGGCCCAGGCCCTAGGCCACTGAGCCCTGAGGCCACAGGCCCTGGGCCCTAGGCCCAGGCCCTGAGGCCCTGAGCCCTAGGCCCTGGGCCACTAGGCCACAGGCCTGGGCCACTGAGCCCTGGGCCCAGGCCCTGGGCCCAGGCCCTGGGCCCTGAGGCCACCAGGCCACTAGGCCACTAGGCCACAGGCCACAGGCCCTGAGGCCCAGGCCTGAGGCCACTGAGCCCTAGGCCACTAGGCCACAGGCCACTGAGCCCTGAGCCACTGAGCCACAGGCCCTAGGCCACTGAGCCCTGAGCCACAGGCCACAGGCCACTGAGGCCACTGAGCCACAGGCCACTGAGCCTGAGCCCTAGGCCACAGGCCACAGGCCACAGGCCACTGGGCCACAGGCCCTGAGCCCTAGGCCCTGGGCCACAGGCCCTAGGCCACCAGGCCACTGAGCCCTGGGCCACAGGCCACAGACCTGAGCCCTGAGCCCCAGGCCCCAGAGCCCTAGGCCCCAGACCCTGAGCCCCAGGCCACAGAGCCCTAGGCCACCAGGCCCTAGAGCCCCAGACCCTGAGCCCTAGGCCACTGAGCCCAGGCCACTGAGCCCTGAGCCCTAGGCCACAGGCCCTAGGCCCTAGGCCACTGAGCCCTGAGCCCTAGGCCACAGGCCCTGGGCCTAGGCCCTGGGCCCTGAGCCCTAGGCCCAGGCCTAGGCCCTGGGCCACAGGCCCTGAGCCCTGAGCCCAGGCCCAGGCCCTGAGCCCTAGGCCCTAGGCCCTAGGCCACAGGCCCTGAGCCCTGGGCCACTGAGCCCTAGGCCCTGAGCCCCAGGCCCAGGCCACTGAGCCACTAGGCCCTGAGCCCTAGGCCACTGGGCCACTAGGCCTAGGCCCTGAGCCTGAGGCCCTAGGCCACCAGGCCACTGAGCCCTGAGCCCTGAGCCCTAGGCCACTAGGCCACTAGGCCACTGAGCCCTAGGCCACAGGCCCTGAGCCCCAGGCCACTGAGCCACTAGGCCACTGAGCCCTAGGCCCTAGGCCACAGGCCACTGAGCCCTAGGCCACTAGGCCTCAGGCCCTGAGCCCTAGGCCCTAGACCCTAGGCCACCAGGCCACAGGCCACAGGCCCTGAGCCCAGGCCACTGAGCCCTGAGCCCTGAGCCACAGGCCCTAGGCCACTAGACCCCAGACCCTGAGCCCCAGGCCACAGACCTGAGCCCCAGGCCCCAGGCCCCAGGCCACTGAGCCACAGGCCCCAGAGCCCAGGCCACAGAGCCCTAGGCCACTGAGCCCTAGGCCACTGAGCCCCAGACCCCAGGCCCTAGACCCTGAGCCCCAGACCCTAGAGCCCTGAGCCCTGAGCCCCAGGCCCCAGGCCACAGGCCACTGAGCCCTAGGCCACCAGGCCCTAGGCCACTGAGCCCCAGGCCACCAGGCCACTGAGCCACAGGCCTAGGCCCTGAGCCCCAGGCCCCAGGCCCCAGGCCCTGAGCCCTAGAGCCCCAGGCCCTAGACCCACAGGCCCCAGGCCACTAGGCCCTGAGCCACTGAGCCCCAGGCCCTAGGCCCTAGAGCCCCAGGCCACAGGCCCTGAGCCCCAGGCCCCAGACCCCAGAGCCCTGAGCCACCAGGCCACAGAGCCCCAGGCCTAGGCCCAGGCCCCAGGCCCTGAGCCCCAGAGCCACTGAGCCCCAGGCCCCAGGCCCTGAGCCACAGGCCACTGAGCCCTCAGGCCCTCGACCCTGAGCCCTCGAGCCCTCGAGCCCTCGAGCCCTCGAGCCCTGAGGCCCTGAGCCCTCGAGCCACTAGGCCCTGAGCCCTGAGCCCTAGGCCACTAGGCCACAGAGCCCTGGGCCTGAGCCCAGGCCACTGAGCCCTAGGCCACAGGCCACTGAGCCACAGGCCTCAGGCCACTGAGCCACTGAGCCCTGAGCCCCAGGCCCTGGGCCACAGGCCACAGGCCACTGAGCCCTGGGCCACAGGCCACTGAGGCCACTAGGCCACTGAGCCACAGGCCACTGGGCCACCAGGCCACTAGGCCTGAGGCCCTGAGCCCTGAGCCCCAGGCCACAGGCCACTAGGCCCAGGCCCTGAGCCCTAGGCCACTGAGCCTAGGCCACTGAGCCACAGGCCACAGGCCACTGAGCCACTAGGCCACAGGCCACAGGCCCTGGGCCACTGAGGCCACTAGGCCCTGGGCCACAGGCCCTGAGGCCCTAGGCCACAGGCCTAGGCCACTGAGCCCTAGGCCACAGGCCCTAGGCCACAGGCCACTAGGCCACTGAGCCCTGGGCCACTAGGCCACAGGCCCTGAGGCCACTAGGCCACTAGGCCACTAGGCCCTAGGCCACTGAGCCACCAGGCCCTGAGCCCTGAGGCCTAGGCCCTGAGGCCCTAGGCCCTGAGCCCTCGACCCTAGGCCCTAGGCCCTCGAGCCCCAGGCCACTGAGCCCTCGACCCTGGGCCTGAGCCCTAGGCCCTAGGCCACTGAGCCCTAGGCCACTGAGCCCTCGACCCTGAGCCCTGAGCCCTGAGCCCTAGGCCACTGAGCCCTCGACCCTGAGCCTAGGCCACTAGGCCACAGGCCCTAGGCCCTAGGCCTGAGCCCTGGGCCACTGAGGCCCTAGGCCCTGAGCCCTAGGCCCTGAGCCCTAGGCCACTGAGCCTAGGCCACTAGGCCACTGAGCCACAGGCCCTAGGCCACTAGGCCACTGGGCCACTGAGGCCCTAGGCCCTAGGCCACAGGCCCTGGGCCCTAGGCCACTAGGCCTAGGCCACTGAGCCCTGAGCCTGAGCCCTGAGCCACTAGGCCCTGAGCCACAGGCCACTAGGCCACTAGGCCACTGAGCCCTGAGCCCTGGGCCACCAGGCCACAGGCCACTGAGCCACTGAGCCCTGGGCCACTGAGCCCTAGGCCCTGAGCCCCAGGCCACTGGGCCCTAGGCCACTGGGCCACTAGGCCCTGAGCCCTGAGCCACTGAGCCCTAGGCCACAGGCCCTGGGCCCTGGGCCACAGGCCCTGAGCCCTGGGCCACAGGCCCTGGGCCACTGAGGCCCTAGGCCCTGAGCCCACAGGCCACTAGGCCACTGAGCCCTAGGCCTGAGCCCTGAGCCCTGGGCCACAGGCCACTGAGCCCTGGGCCACAGGCCACTAGGCCACTAGGCCACTGAGCCCTGAGCCCTAGGCCACTGAGCCCTGAGCCCTGAGCCCTGGGCCACTGGGCCACAGGCCCTGAGCCCTAGGCCACTGAGCCCTAGGCCCTGGGCCACAGGCCACTGAGCCCTGGGCCCTGGGCCCTGGGCCCTAGGCCCTGGGCCACAGGCCACAGGCCTAGGCCCTGAGCCTGAGGCCACAGGCCCTGGGCCCTGGGCCACAGAGCCCTGGGCCTGCAGGCCTGGGCCACTGAGGCCACTGAGCCCTGAGGCCCTGAGCCCTGGGCCACTGAGCCACAGGCCACAGGCCCTGAGGCCTAGGCCACAGGCCACTGAGCCACTAGGCCACAGGCCACTGAGCCCTGAGGCCTGAGCCACTGAGCCACAGGCCCTGGGCCACAGGCCACTGAGCCCTGGGCCCTGGGCCACTAGGCCACAGAGCCCTGGGCCCTAGGCCACAGGCCCTGGGCCACTGAGCCCTGGGCCCTAGGCCACTAGGCCCTGGGCCACTGAGCCCTGGGCCACAGGCCACTGGGCCTAGGCCCTGGGCCACAGGCCACAGGCCCTGGGCCACTAGGCCCTGAGCCCTGGGCCACTGAGCCCTGGGCCACAGGCCCTGAGGCCCAGGCCCTGAGCCCTGGGCCCTGAGCCACTGAGGCCTGGGCCCTGAGCCCCAGGCCCTGGGCCCTGAGGCCCAGGCCCTGAGGCCACTGAGCCCTGGGCCTGGGCCGCAGGCCCTGAGGCCACAGGCCACAGGCCCTGAGCCCAGGGCCCAGGCCACTGAGGCCACAGGCCACTGAGCCACTGAGGCCACTAGGCCCTGAGCCCTAGGCCACTGAGCCCAGAGCCCTAGGCCCTAGAGCCACTAGGCCACTGAGCCACTGAGCCCAGAGCCCTGAGCCACTAGGCCACTGGGCCACAGGCCACTGAGGCCCTGAGCCCTGGGCCACTGAGCCCTGAGCCCAGGCCCTGAGGCCACAGGCCCTGGGCCACTAGGCCTGGGCCCTGAGCCACTAGGCCACAGGCCCTGGGCCACAGGCCCTGGGCCACAGGCCACTGAGCCTGAGGCCACTAGGCCACTAGGCCCTGAGCCTAGGCCCTAGGCCACTGAGGCCTAGGCCACAGGCCACAGGCCCCAGGCCCCAGACCCTGAGCCCCAGGCCCCAGAGCCCCAGACCCTAGAGCCCTAGACCCCAGGCCACTGAGCCACTGAGCCCTGAGCCCCAGACCCCAGGCCCCAGACCCCAGGCCCTAGGCCACTGAGCCACTGAGCCCTGAGCCTGAGGCCACTAGGCCACAGGCCCTGGGCCCTAGGCCTAGGCCCTGAGCCCTGAGCCACTGGGCCCTAGGCCCTGAGGCCACAGAGCCCTGGGCCCTGAGCCACAGAGCCCTGAGGCCACTGGGCCCAGGCCCAGGCCCTGGGCCCAGGCCCTGGGCCACTGGGCCCTGGGCCCTGGGCCCTGGGCCACCAGGCCTGGGCCACAGGCCCTGGGCCACTAGGCCACTGAGCCCTAGGCCCTGAGCCCTGAGCCCTAGGCCACAGGCCCTAGAGCCCTAGGCCCTGAGCCCTGAGGCCCTGGGCCACAGGCCCTAGGCCACTGAGCCCTGGGCCCTGGGCCACAGGCCACTGAGCCCTGAGCCCTGAGCCCTAGGCCACAGGCCACTGAGCCCTGAGCCACTGAGCCTAGGCCACTGAGCCCTGAGCCACAGGCCCTGAGCCCTGAGCCCTAGGCCCTGAGCCTGAGGCCACTGAGCCTGAGCCACAGGCCCTAGGCCACTAGGCCCCAGGCCTGAGCCCTAGGCCACCAGGCCACTAGGCCCTGAGCCCTGAGGCCACAGGCCACTGAGCCCTGAGCCCAGGCCCTGAGCCACAGGCCACTGAGCCCTGAGCCCTAGGCCCTGAGCCCTGAGCCCTAGGCCACTGAGCCCCAGACCCCAGACCCCAGACCCTGAGCCCAGAGCCCCAGAGCCCCAGACCCTAGGCCACAGAGCCCCAGACCCCAGACCCCAGACCCCAGGCCCTAGGCCACTGAGCCCCAGACCCAGAGCCCCAGACCCCAGAGCCCAGAGCCACTGAGCCTAGGCCCCAGGCCCCAGAGCCCCAGAGCCCCAGGCCACAGACCCTGAGGCCCAGACCCCAGAGCCCCAGACCCCAGAGCCCCAGGCCCTGAGCCACAGGCCCCAGACCCTGAGCCTAGGCCCAGAGCCCCAGGCCTCAGGCCTAGGCCCTGAGCCCCAGAGCCCCAGAGCCCCGAGCCCCAGACCCCGAGCCCCAGAGCCCCAGACCCCAGACCCCAGACCCCAGACCTGAGCCCTGAGCCCTAGGCCACAGACCCTGAAGCCACTAAGCCCTCGGCCCTCGAGCCCTCGGCCCTCGGCCACTCGACCACTAGAGCCCTCGGCCCTAAGCCCTCGGCCCTAAGCCACTAAGCCACTGAGCCTAAGACCCTAAGCCACAGAGCCACTGAGCCACCAAGCCTAAGCCCTAAGCCACAAGCCACTGAGCCACAAGCCCTAAAGCCTAGGCCCTCGACTCTCGACCCTCGACTCTCGAGCCCTAAGCCCTAAGCCACAAGCCTAAGCCCTCGACCCTCGGCCACAAACCCCAGAGCCACTAAGCCACTAAGCCGAAACCCCGAGCACCAGCCCCAGACCCCAGAGCCCTAAGCCCCAGACCCGACCCCAGACCCTAAACCCCAGACCACAGAACCACTGGCCGAGAACCCCAGACCCCAGAACCCCAGACCACGAACCCCAAGCCACAGAACATATACCACAGATCCACAGACCACTAGACCGAGACCCCGGACCACAGACTCGAGACCCCGGACATCGGACCCTAGACCACAGACCCTAGACCCCAAAAGCCCGAACCTTAAACCCTCGACCCCGAACCCTCAACCCTAACCCCGAACCCCGACCCCTAAACCCTAAACCCTAAACCCCGACCCCGAACCTTTTTTTTTCTCTTTTTTTCTTCTCATCGTTTTTTTTTTCTGTTAATTTTATTATTTTACTATTTTTTTCTGATTTTCTTTATTTTTTGTTTTTTTTATTTCTATTTTTTTGTGCTTTTGTCTTTCTTTCATTTTTTAAGGAATTGTTTTATTTATTTTTTTCTTCATCTTTCCTTTCTTTTTCTTTCGATTATTTATTTCCCCTTTCTTTTCTTTTTTTTTGTTTTTTTTATTTTTAATTATCGTTTCTTTACTTTTTTTTCTTTTTTTTTCATTTGTTCTTCGATTTTTTTATTTTTTATTTTTTATTTTTTTATTTTTATTTTTTAATGCTTTTGGTTTAATTCTTTTTTAACTTTTTTTTAATCTTTCTTTCGTTTTTAGGTTTTTTTTTCTTGTTTCCTTTTTATTTTATTAGTTTTTTTAATTTTTGATTTTTTTATTTTCTTTTTTCGTTTTTTTTTCGTTCTTTTTTTACTTCTTTGTTCTTTCTTTCTTTTTCGCTTTTTTTTTTCTTCTTGTTTGGTTGATTTTTATGTTTTTTTTTTTTTCGTGCTTTGATTTTGATTTTTTATTGTACTTTTTTTTTACCATTTATATATTTGCTTTTTTTTTTTTTTTGGTCTTCAATTTTTATTTTTATTTTTTTATGCTTTTTGCTTTATTTCTCTTTTAATTTTTTTCCATCTTTTTTTCCTTTTTTTTGGAATTGTTTTTTTAAAAGTTTTTTTCCTTGTTTGCTTTTTTTTATTTTTTTTTTAGTTTTCCTTTTGCTCCTTTTTTTCCTTTCTTTTTCTTTTGGTTTTTTATTTTCCTTTCCTTTTGTTCTTCTTTTTTTTATTTTTAATTATCGTTTCTTGATTTTTTTTATTTTTTTTATTTTTTTTGTTTTGATTTTTTTTTTTTTGCATTTTCTTATTTCCTTTGTGTTTTTTTCCTCTTCTGTTTATTTTTTGATTTTTATTTTTATTTTTTTGCTTTTTATTTTCTTTCTGTTTTTTGCTTTTATTTTGTTTTTTCATTATCATTTTTTGATGCTTTTTGCTTTTTTTCTTTTCTTATTTATTGGAATCTTTCTTTCATTTTTTTAGGAATTGTTTTATTTTCTTTCTTTTGTTTGGTTCTTGTGTTTTTTTGCTTGGTTGCGTTTTATTTTTTTTGGTTTTTCTTTTACTTCTTTATTTTTTCCTTTTGTTTTTTGTTTTTTTCTTTTAATTATCGTTTCTTGTGTTTTTTTTGTTGTTTGGTTGATTTTTAAATTTCTTTGTTTTATTCTATTCTTTTTATTTTCTATTTTTTTCCTTTTTAATATTTGCTTTGTTCTTTTTTTATTTATTGTTTTGATTTTTTCTTTATTTCTTTTGTTATTTTTTTGCATCTTTATTTCGTTTTTGTTAGGAATTGTTTTATTTTCTTTTTTTGTTTCGTTTTTAAGTTCTTTCTGCTTGTTTGCTTGTTATTTTTTTGGCTGTTGTTTTTTTTTTTTTGAATTTTTTTTTTTGGGTTTTTTTTAGTTGTTCTTTTACTTCCTAATTTTTCCTTTCTTTTTCTTTTGGTTTTTTATTTTCATTTTCTTTTGTTTTTTTATATTTTTATTTTTTTTAATTTTTAATTTTCGTTTCTTGACTTTTTTTTTTGTTTGGTTTTGTTTTTATATTCGTCTTTTTAAGTTTTTTTTTGTTGTTTTATTTTTTATTTTTTATTATTTTACATTTTTATATTTGCTTGGTTTTTCTTTTTTCTTTTTTTTTGGTCTGCGGTTGTTTTTTATTTTTTTTTCATTATTTGTTTTTATAGTTTGCGAATTTTTTTTCTACTTTAATCTTTTTTGATTTTTTTTACGGTTTTCGATTTTGTGTTTAATGTATTTTTATTTTTTTACTTTTCTTTGTTTTTCTTTTTTGTTTGTGGTATTTCTTTCTTATTTTTATGTTTTTTACTATTTTTCGGTTTTTTTATTCCTTTCACGGGTTTTTTGCTTTCTGGTTTTTTTATTTTTCAATTTGTTTTTTACGGTTTCTGTTTTTCAGTTTTTTCTTCTTATTTCCTTTTTGGTTTCCTTTTTAAATTTTTTTCTTCTCTGCTTTAGTTTTTTGTTTTTTTATTTCTTAGTTTTTTTTCCTTTTTTCTTTGTTCTAGTATTTTTTTTTTGTGTTTTTCGCTTAATCTTTTCTTTTTTGCTTTTTTCTTTGTTCTAATATTTTTTTCGTCGCGTGGTTTTTTTTATTGTTCTTTTGTATTTCTTTCTTTTTTTTTTTTTGCTTTTTTCTTTTCCGTATTCCTTTTTTGTTTTCTATTTTTTTTCCCGTCTTTTTAGTTTTTTTTTCCTTTATTTTTGTTTCTTTATTTTTTTTTTTTATCCAAACCCAAAACACTAATTCTTCCACTCCGACCCCAGACCGTAAATTCAAAACCGAAATCCAAGTCCAAAAAACCCTAATCTTGGTATGATTGCGAATCCCATTGCATGCGGCGTCAATTCTTCGACAGATGTGAGGTGTTGAAGACCACCATCGTAGTTGAGAGATTTTAGGTACCAAGATGACTGATTTCAAGACGAAAAAGAATGGAGTGATTGCAAATCCCAATGCAAGTGGCTTCGTTGATTTGTTGCAATCCGTGACGCGAAAGTGAGATTTTAATTTGGAGAGCAAACCCCCTTTTCGGAGACGGAATTCCTAATGCATACTCTCTGGAAGGGACTTCAATTTTCTGCAATCCAATAACCAAACAATTTCGAGAGCAATCATAGATTGACAAAGAATGAAGGGATGTAAAATCACCAACAGGTCAAAAGTCGACATACAAGGAACACTCGTTTCTCCATTCCCTTTGATAAGGAATCTCTATTAGCTTCAAGATGCAACTTCCGAGTAGACAATACCCATGCACTTGTACGACTCATGAAACAATAATTGTCAAGGAAATACAAAATAAGAAGTGAGATTGGGAGCCACTGCATTTGAAACCACAAGTTTTGGGCATTATTACCTGCGATGTAAGGAGTAGCTGTCAGTTTTCTTTTTCGTTACAAAACCTTCCTTTCTTCTCCCTAATTCCTGCAGATTGTTAGAATGGATAAAACCGATTACCATAAAAATAAACCCAAAATAACAGTTCTTTATGCAAGCCCAGGAAATGCGATGTACGTGGCAACATGCACAGTGAACTTTCCCTGTCCAAAATCATTCAAAGTTCTCTACCTTTGATGCTGAGATATACCTCCATGCAATGTCGCGGAAGCTATGCTGTGTATCAATGCCGTAGAGACTTCATCACCATCTCGTTTGGTCTGACTGAAAATAATATTCTCCTCGCCCTTTGCATAGACCTAAATATAATGGCGAAGTTCTCTGTACTTTAGGAACAATAGTTACCTCTCATTCTGAAATCACTTGGACCTGTAATGAATTACATTATCACGACAGTAATTCATAATGACCGAAACAATAATGCATTCAATAGTAATAAAATGACTAACAATCTAATGAAGTTATTATACAAGACAAAAGCTAGGAGTCTATTTAAGAAGTCCTTACATCGTTTGAAAAATAACTCGCACCACATCCACCTCGCTTGTCTTCCTCGTCAAGGGAACGATTGGAGTCGCCTAACGTACGTCATCACCCAGATTTCGACACATTTCTTTGGTTTGGTTAAAATGTAAGTACACTAAACATCCAAAAAAACTTTATGAATTTAAGATGCATGACGCTGTTTAATTATGAGAGCTAGCAGGGAGAGAAAGAAGCATGAAGTGAGGCGAAGGAGAAACCTGGAGCTGGAGGTAGAGAAGAAGCTGTAGTTGGTAAAGAGATCAAAGTTATTGAAGATCAAAAGAGAGCACTGCAATTAGAATTGAAAATAACAAGTAATAGAAAATGAAGATGGTGACCAAGTTGGTCATCGACCAGATCGAATAAGGAGATAAGTAGGGCATGTATGAATAAGAGATATGAAGTGTTTTTTTAATGGTAAAAGAGAGGAGACAGATGGATGTTTATTTGAATTTGGAATTCAGGAGAAGAAGGTTCGTGGGCGGGATATTTGGATATTTGGGCGGGATAGTTGGGACTTGGGTGGATGTAGATGTGACGGCATGAAGTGAAGGCATGCAGTTGTCTACCTCGACGATGGCGATGTAGCGCTGGCAAACACTCTACTGTAAGGGATCAGGCACGCAAGTATCTAAATGAATTTGAAATATCATTTACTTCATTTTCACACGTGTAGACACTTCCATGCTTAATGGACCCACCCATACTGAAAAAGTTATAGGCCAGCCATTGTAGATGATGACTAGGTGACTGCTCTCTTAACCCACTGTGCCTTGTGGGATGGGTGGTGAGGTGGTGCTTATCCATCCGACCTCTTTTATTACGGAGGATGACTAACTTAGTTACAGTTCATAAAATGCTAAGGGTGTCTTTTAAGACACTTAACTCATCGTTAAATACTACATAATAGACAAATTGAATTTCAAAATTTTCATCTGAACACTTTCCCGAGGTAATAACCATAATGTTTTATTACTATAGATGAATTTTAATTTCTGAATTACATTCTTATAATATTTCAAAAAAACTTAATAACATTTATTTTTACTTATAAAAAAGTAATGCCATTCATTAAGTCAGAATTCAACAAACAAAACTATATAATTTATTGGGTTTATAATGCAATATTTTTTGGATCTGTCGTATTTGTTTGATTATTATAATATTTAAATACTAATAATAACTATAAATAAATAATATCTTAACGATTTCTCTCAATCTACCAAACCCGGAACATATTATTATGCAATATTTTTTCCATTTTTATTTCCGTTGCTTCACTTTGCAACGATTTATTTATTGGTAAACACAGGTTGACGGCTCAATTTCTGGACAAAAAGATATACTCAAACCGCCAAGGAAGGAGGGAATGCATGCTTTCAATTTCAGGCAATGATTCCTACGCCGCCCAAATCTTGTGTAAACACAGGTTGCCATCTTTTCCTACAAAACATGCTTTTTGCTTGATTTGTGTGTCGTGATTTATTGGTTTGCTGGAATAATAAAAACGTATGTACATGAATTTGAAAAACCATTTACTTCATTTTCATTTTCACACGTGTAGACACTTCTATGCTTAATGGACCCACCCATACTGAAAAAGTTATAGGTCAGTCAGTGTAGATGATGACTCTATGACCGCCCTCTGAACACACTGTGGCCTGTGGGATGGGTGGTGAGGTGGTGCTTTTCCATCTGACACTCTCTTATTATAGAAGATGACTAGCTTAGTCACAGTTCATAAACTAATTACAAAATAAACTAAAAGAAAACCATAAAACACTGTACCAAAAGCACTGTTTATTTTTTTTTCTTTTTTTCACTTCTTCCACCACAGTCCACGTCTTCCTTTTGATTTAAATAAACTTTATTTTCGTTTTAGTCCATGTTTTATAATTTTTTTTTATTATGAAAATTTACTATATTTGCATTTCATCGATCACTATTTTTTTTTCTTTCTTCCCCCAAAACTCCTTTTTACTTTTAGTAAACTTAATATTCGCATTAGTCCTTGTTGTATAATTTTTTTTTCTTTCGGTGATTAAAATTTTATTATATTTGATTTTTATTCTTATAATAAATATTTTTTTTGTAATTTTTAATTTATTTCATTTTAACCCCTAAAAATTTCAAATAAAAATTTTAATTCCCTAATTGATGCACTACACATGCCTGTTTTTTCTTTTGCTTTTTTTTTTTTACTTTTTTCCATCAATTTATGTTATTTTTTCATTTGATTGGATGTTAAAATTTTAAAAAATTAATTTTTTATTTGTTTTTTTCATCAATTTATGTTCTTTTTTTAATTGGTTGTTAAAATTTTGAACAATCAATCATAACTTTTTTCACACAAATTGATGATTCTATAATATATCTTTTTATATTTTGAATTTAACATATACTTCAGCTTATATTATTGTTATTATTTAAATTTCATTATTTGAATGTATCATTTTTTTTATCAAAATTCTCATCCAACTAATATTTTTTATATGAAATTTTATTTACTAATATTATATAATTTATTTTTCTCTATATTTGAATTATAGAATAAAATTTGAAAACATGATTTTTTTCTTTTTTAAAAAAATAAATTTGTATAATACATATATATCATGAATTCTTAGAATTTTTACATGACAATTGCATATATATATATATATATATATATATATATATATATATATATATATAACTATTTTATTCTAAAAGGTTAAAAGTGTATTTCAAATAATTTATCTCGAGTTCACTAGATATGGTCAAGACATATAAAAAAAAACTATTGAATTTTTCATTTTATTAAAAATTAACTATACATCTTCCAACATAATACATACTATTTACTATAGATAATTTTTTAACATTATCAAACCAATTTATTCGAAATGAGATAATTAAAATAATTTTTTAAAGGAACCAACAAATTATTCAAATATTGTTTTTTATGCTAATTTTATTGATTATTTTATCAATAAATACATATAGATCAAATGCATATACTTGAAAAAAATTAATCTTCTCACCAATATTAAAAAAGAATAGAATTTTATTTTTTCATTGGTTAATTCTTATGCAACTCTATATATTAATTGTAAATTTACTTTTTAAATTCATTCTTATAAAAAAAATATATAATTTTAAAGTATTTGCTTTTCAATTCTTAATTAATTTTTCATGTTTAAATTATTATAAGTTTTTATTTAAGAATTCCTAAATAACAAAGAATAAATCATGTTTTTTAAGCAAAAATTTTATTAAAAAAACACAAAAAATAGTAATAATTAAATAAAAAATTATTATATTTTGAAACGATTTTATTATATTTATCGGTAGCATTGCACGAATAATTTTCAAAATTATTTTGTCTCATCGGCATTAAATGAGAATTCTTTTCATTTGTTAATTTTTGTCAAAATCTATCTACTAATTATAACTATTTTTTAGAATACGATATTGTGAAAATTATTTTTTAAAAGTTTTTTCAATTCTGGATTAATATTTTAATTAAAAATATTATAATTTTTAATTTTAAAATCAATCCATAAAAAAGAATGATTTATTTTTTTAAGCAAAGAATTTATAAAAACATTTGAAAAATTTACTAAATTAAATATTATAATTAAAAAATTAAAACTTTATAATAATTTTATCCTACCGGACCTACGACATAGCGCGGGCAATCGGTTAGTAATAACTATAAATAAATAATGTCTTCGGGATCTCTCAATTTACCAACCCCGAACATTTTATTATACAATATTTTTTCCACTTTCTTGTTTCCATTGCTTCCCTTTGCAAAGGCAAACCATGAGCATATGTAACCATAGTTTCATGCTGATTTTGTCAAGTATCATCAAGTCTTAAGAGAGCCAACCAATTTTGAATGTCCAAAAATCGAGCCTATTTCGTGTTGTGCAAGTTGGCAATGACGTTTCCTACATATGGAAGCATCGAATGTTTCTAGACTTCGGTCGGGTGATCATGTTCAAGTCGGGCTCGAATCAATGACTTCGATTAGGTGGCGGTCATGCCAACCAAGTTCCACCACCATTGGAAAAATACAAATTTTTCTTACACAAGTTATGCAAATTAATTCCTCACACATTCATCCTATAAAGAATAAAAGAAAAAAAAATCAATGAAGCAATACTTTTAACCAAACAATCAACGGAGCTAGAATTGTCTTAACAATTATAGTAATCTTATAAAGATACTGTGAGCGAGAATAGTTGATCGATGATGTTAAATTGATTTTTTTAAGGATGAATTAATCCCTCTATTTCTTATAAACGAATTGGTAGTTCTATTTGCTTTGAAAACAAATTATTTAACCTTTGTATTTTAAAATTTTATTCTAATTTAATCATTTTCATTATTTATTTATTTATTTTGATTTTTTTTCAAGAAAGTAGAATAAGTAAAATTATGTAATCGAGAAAAAAAATAAGAGAAATTATTATTTGAAGATGATTGATATGAGCAAAAATTGAAAATGAATTAAATATAAATGACAATTAAAAAAATAATAAAAGACATTGTTTTTTACTATTGATAGAATGCTCATCTTCTCTCATGCTAATGTGAACTCACCTTTTTTTCTTTTACGTTATAAATGCCATTATATTTTGCTCTTAATTTTTATTATTGCCACCGATTGAATCTGTTAAAATCCACACTTATCCTTAATCGACTCTCCTTCTCATTTTCTTTTTCATCCTTTTTCCATCATTACCTTTTCTCTTCCGACAAAACATTTAATACTCCTTCTTTCATTGCTTTTTTTTTTCCTTTATTTTCGTCAATGGAGCTCACTAGCTATTCAAGAGTAAATTATAAACTAGTCCCTCTTGCTTCGAGAAATGAATCAAGTAATCATTTTCTTCCAATAACTAATATTTTATACCTTTTTATTATGTTTTAAAATATTTTTACTTCTTTCTTTAAGAAACAGAATAGGAATAAAAATATGAAAAAAAAATTATTACAAAAGAATACATTCTATAGAAAAAAAATAATTAGTCGAGATCAATACTCGGTTAATAAAAATATTAAATAATTATTTTTTGAAACTAAAATGACTAATTAATTCATTTCTCAAAATGAAAGAGACTATTTTATCATTTATTCCGCAATACAATGACTTTCTTCATCGTTGTTTACATGTGATATATATACATGACATAGAGAATAACAAGAATAGGCAATGCTCGTAAAAAATAATTAAGTTCAAAAGTGGCTATAGACAAAAGTAAATAAGTTAGTGCAATTGTTAGCTTATTAAAAATCCATGCAAAATGATTTAATGAATATAATATGATGATTGCATTTTCATGCTTAAAACTCGTAGAGTGGGGGCACTTTTACGCTTTCCTTCGCAGAAAAAATTGCTTATTTGATGGTTGAATTTACTTTTTTAATTTTTTTTAATTAGATAACGGAGTTAAATTTGTATGCGATCTGTATTAATTTTTCCGTACTTTCTTTTATTTGTACCATGTGCATTTCACTTAACCAAATGTTCGGACAATAAAAAATAATAACTCGTTATTATATTTGTTAACAACTAAAATTTGCTCCCCTTTAATTATTTATTTGTTTTTATTATTAAGAAAATACCAAAAAAAAAGGATAAAAAAATGGAAACAAAAAAAATCGAAAAAGAGAAAATCGAAAAATGAAAAAAATCAGTTGGATAATTAGTTTAGATTAATTAAAAAAAAAAGAGGGAGGGGGTTAATTGAAGAAGTGAAAAGTTTAGAGGTGATAAAGAGTACAATTGAAGGTTCAATAAAAAAAAATCAAAACTTTTGTCCTTCAATTAAAACAATAAGGGGGCACGATTGAAAAAAATTAAAATAAAAGTCTCAATTAGTTACGAGGGGGCTCAAATTAAAACAAAAAAAAAAGAAGCAAAATCGACCTCATATTAATGCATGAGAAGAAACCAAGGACCAAACTCGATATTTAGCCCACCCCATGCATTTTTTTATACCTAACATTATTCATCCTCACAAGAAAAAGGAGGCAATCGCCGGAGAAAGGAAAGAAATCATAGAAAAGCTCCCTCTCGCCCTCACTCGCAGCCATCACCAACCAACTGCTCTCTCCCTCTCGCCTCGCACCCCTACATGCTAGCTCCCCCGAACGAGCTTCCCTACAGCCCCTTTTTAGCCGACTTCTCCCTCATCCAAAACAGTCATAGAATATTCCCAAAGCAGCTTTAGATTAGCCCCAAAGCGCCCTCAAATGTAGCCCTACAACCGACCCCCAAAACGAGCCTAAAAAACCCACCAAAAACCCTTGCAGAAAAACCCCTTCGGGTAGCCCATTTAAATCACAAAAACAGCCACTAAAACACCCCTAATCCAGCTTCAATATAGCCTTAAGAACCCCCCAAAATTATCCCTAAAAACATCCCCAAAACAAACTTGAAAAACCCATCAAAAACCCTTCAAAATCAACCCCGCAACCATTACCTAAATATGAGGTTATCAAATCATTTAATATTGTAATCGAATCTCATATCAAAATCATATCTCATATTCTCAAATCGTTTGATATTGTAATCGAATCTCATATCAAAATACTTATAATCAAATCAAATCATATCAAATATCAAAATCTCATATCAAAATACTTATATGAGATATAAAATCATATCTCATATTCTCAAATCGTTTAATATTGTAATCGAATCTCATATCAAAATACTTATAATCAAATCAAATCATATCAAATATCAAAATCTAAATATGAGGTTATCAAATCATATCAAGTATCGAAATACACATATGAGGTGGTCGAATCATATCAAGTATCAAAATATACATATCGTAACATCTCGAACCTAGGACCTAGTAGGTTGAAATATTATCGTCGTTTACATACATTCGAAATGCAATGAATGTAAGCTAACAAGACTTTGTGACTTATTTATAATACATTTAGCTATAAATTACGCCGCAAAAGTCTAATAATAAAGATTAGGTCCTATGTTTAGTTCAAAATGCACTATAATTTTTTTGCTTCATATTATTTTATTTACATGTTTGGATTTAAATAATCAAATCTATAACTCTCGGTTTCCTCAAATTCTTTTTCTATTAAATTATATGAATTTATTTAATTATAACCCATTGCTTGATAATTAATTGATTATTTTTTTCATTAATTATCATTTAAATTCATGATTATCTACTTCATTATAACTTCTTATTGTTGTTTTAGATAATGACTAATTGTGATAATTACTCGTTCAAATTAACGAGTAATCATCCCAAATTTTTAGATTTTAGGTAAATATGTTATTTGTTGATTAATTAACTTCTCAATCCATCTAATTGACTAATTTATCAACCCAAAATAATCAACAATTGTATTAAATTAAGTTAATAAACAAGATATCATCAAATAATTTGAGAAATGGGGACTTGATTGAAAATATCTTTTTTTTAAAAAAATCATAATCAAATTAACAAATAATCACAAATACCGAATTTAGAAATCTTGTCAAAATTTAAAAAGAAAACTGTTCATCCAGTAGCATTTTTTCCTTAATTTTTGGGTTTTTGCTCTTTTATGGGGTTGATTTTATGGCCTAAAAAATCATACAAAAAGTGAAAAATATATCCAAATAAAGATTCATATGTGATTATGGCATACTAAGCTTCCTATTCCAACCCAAAATAATAAGAAACAATCCACTAAAAATAATTTTAATCCAGGAAAAAAGAAAAAAAATTGGGCCAAGAACATAAAAAATGAATAATTAAACTAATATAAACTTTAACGACATACTTGTTTTTTTTTCTTCCTTTAATCTATTTTATCAACTTCCAAAGCGAATATTCTACACTTCTTTCCTCTCTTTCTTCCCCCCCCCCCCCCTCTAACTTTCTCTATTTTGCTATCTATTTCTTTTCTCTTTTCCTGTGTGTTTCTTGTTCTATGACTACCTCCTCTATTTATAGTGTGAGAATGAGGGTTGGTGGGATGATTTTTAGTTATTTTGGTGGATATTAAGAGATATAACAGAGGAATTTTTTGGTAGAAATTAAGAATTGTTGGGTGTGATCTTCTAGCCAATAATTAGTCTAGGTAGTTTGAGGATTGAAGCAAGTGTCTAGGCTTGTGTTAAAAGTGGAGATCAAGCCTAATAATAGAGAAGAAGTTCATGACAAAAGTGTTGGAAAAGAAGAAGAATGAAGGTAGGAAAAAGAAAGGAAAAAAGAAAATGAATGATTAAAATTTTATCCCATATGAGGCTTAAAAGAGATATTCTTTTTTATTATTTTTTAAAAAATTTGCAACGAATATAAAAGGATTCAAAATTTTGGTGATGAAAAAAAATTTTACAAGACTAATTATGTTAATTTAGATTATAAAAAAAATTAATAGAAGAATATATTGAAAACTCAATCATTTTATATGAATAAAATTATTACGATTAAAAATTAACTCTATTATGTAAATACCAACCGGGTCATTTTTTCTTCGTATAAATCTATAAAGTATAAACATGGACAATTAATTACTTTGAAATTAATAAACCAATTCCTAACCACGACTTTCTTTTCTATTTTCTCTTTTATTTCTAGCTTGAATTTCAATTTATTACTTACTCCTCTCCTATGTCCGGTCTCACGGGCAAGAGATATTAGAAGCATGTGGGACAAGATAGACCTTAGCCCGATATTATGTTTTAAAACGACCCAACACAAGCACCATGAAAAATCAAATATAGAGATGAAATGTGCTTTACTACGACCCGATATAAGCACATTGGACAAAAATGTATACAGACCCAATTCATACATTATCAGTCATGGGCTTCATGAACCCGTTTATCGTATTCGGGCCTGCTCGTAAAAATAAAATATAAAAAATGAGGAGATGGCCCATCGATAATAAGCGCGTTCGTTAGCATTCACTGCAATTAAATCCTTTCCTTTCCTGCGCTTCTTTTTGAGTTTTACGGCAAAAAAAAAAAAATACCACGGTTCTGTTGTAATTTAATAATTTTTATTTTTATTATCAATTTACATAATTTGATTTCTAAAATATCAGTTTTCAGGTAAATATTATCTAATTTTTTTTAAAATTTTTTCAAACAGTCAACTAGTGAGCGTTAAACATAATAGGTTATTTAAGCCTTTTACTGTTAATTTTAAAAAAAAAAATTAAAAAAAAACTTGTTCTTATTTTTTCAATGTATTTATAAAATAATTAATAAAATATAATTTTTTTAATTTTTGAAAACAACTTTTATGCAATATAATTATTCATTAAAACAATTAATTTTTATAATTAATAAAATATAAAGATTTATTGATTGAATTTCACAATCCATACAAGCAGCCTTTCCTGTCTGCCTCTGCGTGGTAATCCTCTTAGTCCTACCCGCTACTACTACATATATTTTAATAATAAGTAATATTATGTAAGGGTAATTAGCAAAGCAATTATTCATTTCGATTCAATTCGTTTTCGATTTGCTTCTATCGATCATCTCCAGATAATAATTTCTCATTTCCTTTCCTCGATCGCATGATTTTCATTCAGCTTAGCTTGTTGTTGTCTGTCATGGCCTCTACAAACAAGGATGTTACTATTCCATCTGGTAAGCTTTGCTTTCATCCGTCTTTTAATTTCCTGGACAGATTTTTTTTTTAATGAAAAAACGTAGACTAGAATAAAATAGTTTATATATTTCTAGAATAGAAGGAAAGCTTTTGCAAGTCTAAATGATGATGCACCTTTTCTTGGTTTTCGAGTATCTAGACTTGGATTTGAAGAACAAGCGGATTCTTCTCTTGAATTTGCTAATGATCCACGCCGGTTATAGTGAGTCAGACCTTTCCGTGAATGCGTTCTGCCTTTATAATACCTTCTTCTACGGCCATTTGGTTATACGTTCGTGTTCCTTCCCTGCATGTCTCTATTAACATGATTAACTTTTTCTTTCTTAACCTGAATGAATGATTTGGTAACATTTCTTTATCAAATCCTCCGTGGCATTGCTTATTGCCATTCTCTTTCCCTGCACTATTTTCTTTTTTCCCGCGTTATGCTTCGAATTGAATAAAATATATAAAATTGTTTAGAAAAATCATTTCAAACTTAATAATCTATTTTATAATGTGAATCTATAAATATATATGAAATCAAATACAAAAAAATTATTTATAATTTTTTAATAAAAAATTTTGTATTTAAATATTTTTTATTTGTGTTTTTCATAATTTTTCTTTTAGAAAAATGATGTATCCTTGTCAATCCATGGAGTATTAACCAAAACGAAAATTAAATAATTTAAAAAAAAACGCTTTAGTATTTTATAAGATTGCATCAAAAAACATAAATAATAATTATTAAAAACTTACACGAATTAAACCAATTATTTTTTTTATTTAATGTTGATGAGAATATCTTTTTTGAAAAAAATATGAATTTAATTTTTATATATTTATTTACAAAAGAATAAATAATATTAAAATAAAAAACTATATTAATTTGAATCATTGAGTGGTTAAGCCAAAACATAATTGTAATTATTTAGTTTAAAATAAGTTAATTTTAAAATATTCAAAAATAAATAAATAAACAAGTAAATGCTTAGTATAGTAATAGTTGCACGATTAATTTCTAAAAAAACAATGATTCAATATTTTTTTTATACATCATAACTATACTAAGTGAGTTCGAGTTTTCAATCTAAAAAAAAATACTATAAAAAAATTAACTTGCAAGGAATCTATTGACTAAATTTGAAGTTAATAGACTAAACTACAAATTATTACAAATTTGGTTTCAATTAATTTTGAATATATAAAGAAGAACAAATTAATAAAACATATGAATTCTTTTTTTCCTCCTTCTTAAATATTTTTTTCTATGTTATGCATGGCTAGTCCTTGAATACAAGCCTCACTTGCAGAGCAACCATCTTCTTTTTATTTTTCACATTTTACTTTCAATTATTAATTAATTAATTTGATTTTTTTCTAAAAAAACCAAGAAAAAATGATTTAAAATAAAATTTTAATCTAAAAATGTATTTTAGATAAATCATACATATTAATCATGCCACTATAATTTAAAAATTATCTAAATCTATTTTTCAAAGAAAAAATATTCATATTCTAAAAATTTATTTCAAAATCCATACATATAGAAAAATAAATCAAAACAATCAGTAAATAGAATTTTAAATTAATTGAATGAGAATTTAAAAAAATAACAAATTAAAGTAGCAAATTTTATATAATAAAAATAACTAACAAAAATACTAAAATAAAATGGGACCAAATCACAATATAATCAAAGTTTGAAATTAAAAAAAAAATTAAAACAATGACAAAGTAATGTAGTAAATTTTAAATAATATAAAAAAATTGAGAAAAAATAATTTTAAATACACTTTTAATTTGGAAATGTATTTCAAACAAATTATATATATTGATCATGCCACTCTAATTTAAAAATTATCTAAATCTATATTTCAAAAGAAAAAAAAATCATGTTCTAAGAATTTATTCCAAAATACATACATATAAAAAAAATAAATCAAAACTGTCAATATATATATATATATATAATTTTAAATTAATTGAATGAGAATTTTAAAAAATAACAAATTAAAGTACTAAATTTGAAATAATAAAAATAATTAACAAAAAAACTAAAACAAAATAGAACAAATCACAATATAATTAAAGTTTGAAATTAAAATAAAAATGAGAAATTAAAGTAGTCAATTTTAAATAATATAAAAAAATTGAGAAAAAATTATTTGAAATACATTTTTAATCTAAAATATTATTTTAAAAAAATTATATATATTAATCATTCCATTATAATTTAAAAATTATCAAAATCTATTTTTCAAAAGAAAAAATAATCATATTCTAAAAATTTATTTCAAAATCTATACATATATAAAAATAAATCAAAACTATCGAGTAAATATAATTTTAAATTAATTGGATGAGAATTTAAAGAAAAATGACAAATTAAAGTAGTAAATTTTAAATAATAAAAATAATTAACAAAAAACACTAAAAAAAAAATTAAGACTAAATCACAATATAATTAAAGTTTGAAATTGAAAAAGAAAAGACAATTTCAAAAAAAAAAAAACAAAGAAGACAAGTTATGTAAATTTTAAATAATAAAAATAATTAACAAATTAAAGTTTGAACTTGAAAAAACAAATATATAGTTTTAGAAAAGGACAAATTAAAATAGTTAATTTTAAATAATAAAAATAATTATAAAAATATTAAAATAAAATGAGAACAAATCACAATAGAATTAAAGTTTGAAATTAAAAAAAAATTATAAAAAATTGAGGACCAAAGTGTTACAAAAGTCACATGAATAATAAAAAGAATAGTGATTTGTGAGTGTGAGAATAGTGTTTCAAATAGCGATATGAACAGTAAACACATGATTTTATAATTTAATATATAAAAAAATTATTCTATTTTATAATTTTTTAATCAAAAATTTATATTTCACTTATGATTTCTCATGTTTTTTTTTATCATTTTTGTACCCAAAAAAGCAATTTCTTCTTTTTTATACATGATTTTTTATTAAAAAATTTGTGATAATTAGAAAAGAAAATTTAACATGAAATATAAAAAATCGTAATATTATTTTTATAAAACTGTGTCATTAAAACAAAATAACAATTCATGCAAGAACTTGCATAAAAATAAACAAAAAAAATATTTTTTTTTAATCACGATTTAATGTTAATGAGAAGGTTAACTTTTAAAAGTATGTATATTTGATTTTGATATATTTATTAATTAAATTATCAGCAATATTAAAATAAAAAGTGTATTTTAATAATTGATTGGTTCTATAAAACACAATTTTAATTATTTAATTTGAAAAAAAAATGATTCCATAATATCAATAAATAATAAATAAATAGTAAAGGTTTGTATTTCGTTTTGTTGAGTGAATTCTATAGTTTGCAACATAAAACAAAATTATTAAAAAAAACAAAACAGTTAACTTGTAAGTAATATATTGAATAAATTTAAAGTTAATAGACTAAAATAAAAAATATTACAAATTTGATTTCAATAAGTTTTGATTGTATAAAGAAATAGCTAATAAAAAATATAAAATCATTTTTTTCTTCTTAAATATTTTTTTAGGCCATACATGGCCGGTCCTTCCGCAAAAGCCTCACATGTAGAGTTATGATTCAAAAATTTCAAGAATCTATCATAGAAATCATATCATTTATGTTTTTTTTAAAGGAAAAATAATCATGTTTTAAAATTTTATTTCAAAATTCATAGATAGATAAAAAAAAAAAAAGAAAGTATTTATCTATAAATAAAATTTACTAAAAAATATAAAATCAATTCGATGAGATTTTAGACAAGAAATGACAAATTGAAGGAATAAGTTTTAAATAATAAATTAATATAATCCGAAATATATGCTTATTTTGAAAAATAAAAATATGTTGTATATATTTTTCATCTCCAAGTTGTTTAAAAACCCCAAAAAATATGATCGATCATCCATAATTTTGCCTTATAATTCATAATAATAAAAATTAAAATAAATTACTGCAAAAAAAAAAAAAAAGAGCTCATAAGGATTGGAAGCGAAAAAAAAAAACGAGAGAACCAAAAGAATAAAGAGCCATCAACTCGTCGGCATTTAATAAAACTTCCATCGAAGAGAAGCAAATGAAAGGCTTTCATAAAAATTCTCGTAGAATCGAGAATGAAGTTTTCATTCCGTACATGCCGGATCATGAATTAGTAACTGCATTCAATCTTTAAAAAAATCCTAATTGTTTCGAATTTTTTCTTTTTTTCTTTTTGTAATGGAATATTTATGGAATCCTCATAAATAGGATCAAACCTTAGGGTACAACAGTAATGTTGCAAACTCACTAAATGACATTAAAGAAATTGGAAGCAAAATAAAAAAAGTTGGAAAGTGACATTGTGGAGGCATTAATTTATTTGGCTCAAAAAAAGACAAGGAAACACATCCAACAGCAAGGAGCAGACGCAGAAGGGCGTTTTGTTAATTGTTAATTGTCAATGGCATGATAAATTTATTATTATTTTGAGGATAAATGTCATGATAATCGAACATGCACCGAGCATGACATTTCATAATTTTGAGAAATTAATATTTGTGGATCTCATTGATCAAAATAACTCATTGTGAAGTTCACAAATTAAAGCACAAAACGTTCATTTATTTGGAAAGATTTTTACCACACTTATCCTCAAACTGAAACTCAATTAAAGTATTTTTGAAAATAATAATACGTGAAAATGTAAATATACCATTAAGTATATGCTATTATGAACAAAATTCGAATTTTCAATTTCATATATAAATACTGTACAAAGAATTCATTTATCTTTACACCAACTCATTATTTGCTTTTCTCTTTAAATTTTGCAATGCCAAAAAAAGTCGCAATGATTTTAGAATAGACTAATCGGCTACCTACAGGTCGAGCATAACAAAATTATTTTATAATTTTTTATTAATTTTTTTTATATTTTTCATAAGTTTTCAACTTAAAAAAATATATGATTTTTTTATGCATTGATTCTTAAATAAAAACTTATAATATGTTAAACTAAAATATTAATAAAAAATTAATAAAAATACTTTAAAATATATTTTCATAAAAATGTATTAAAAAAAAAGTTACAATTAATGTATACCCTTGTATAAAAAAATAAAATTTTATTCTTCTTCAATGCTAATGAAAAGATTATTTTTTGAAAGTATATGCATTTGATATATTTATACATACATGCAAAATAATCAATAAATTTAGTACAAAAAGCTGTATTTGAAAAATTATGTGATTTTTTAAAAAAAACTTATTTTAATTAGTTTATTTCAAAAAAAAAATATCTATATAAAAAAATATTCATAGAAAATAGTTGATGTCATTTGTCAAGATGTATAGTTAATTTTTAATAACATTGATGATTCAAAAAATATATATATATGTTTTAACAATACTTGGTGAAATAAGACAACTATTATTTAAAAATTCTAAAAATTTATAATATATATTATATTAATTTATTTTTTCAAAAAGAAAAAAAATCATTTTTTAATATTTTATTCTAAAATTAAATATAGAGAAAAATAAGTTATAATTGTCAACAAATAAAATTTTATAAAAAATAAATTAATTGGAAGAGATTTTCATAAGAAATGACAAATTTAAATAATAAATTTTATATAATAAAAATAATATAACCTGAAATATATGTTAATTTTAAAATATAAAAACATGGTATGTATGTTTCATCCTCCCTGCGCTATGTAAAAAACACTGATAATAATGTTCTATGTTCCATAATTTTTGCCTAAAAATTCTTAATTAAATAAAATTAAAGAAAAGAAGGAAAAACAAAAAAAAAAAAAAACCAAGGTGCAGGCCTCCCATGCCCTCAGGCCTGGAGTTCCAAGCCCGCATGGGTCTAGGCAAAACAAATTTGACACTTTTGAATTTTCTATGGCCTCTGCAAATTTTTGGCAAAATTGATTTAGTTGGAAAAGTAGTCAAAAAATGAGGTTTCTTAATTTTTGGCATTCTAAAACAAAATTCAGCTCAATTTTAGTAAGGAAAAACATCTTAAAATCACAAAAATAACATAAACAAACTTCTTTAGTATCTTAATACTCATTTTAATACACCCAAAACACACAAAAATTTATTTCAAAATCCATACATATAGAAAAATAAATCAAAACTATCGGTAAATATAATTTTAAATCAATTGGATGAGAATTTAAAGAAAAATGACAAATTAAAGTAGTAAATTTTAAATAATAAAAATAATTAACGAGAAAACACTAAAAAAAATAGGATCAAATCACAATATAATTAAAGTTTGAAATTGAAAAAGAAAAAAATAAAAAAAGAAGAAAAATTATGCAAATTTTAAATAATAAAAATAATTAACAAATTAAAGTTTGAAATTGAAAAAAAAAAAGAGTTTTAAAAAAGGACAAATTAAAGTAGTTAATTTTAAATAATAAAAATAATTAAAAATATTAAAATAAAATAGGAGCAAATCACAATACAATTAAAGTTTGAAATTGAACAAAAATTTTTAAAAAATTGAGGACCAAAGTGTTAAAAAGTAAATGGCAAAAAGAATAGTGATTTATAAGTGCGTGAATAGTATTTCAAATAGTGACATGAATAGTAAAATATGATTTTACTTTAGTGTTTTTAGTAATTGAGATTTGGAACCACATAATTTGCTTATTCATCACCACACCAATGCGCTCAAGCTTGCGGATTGTGGATCGGCTAGAGCAAAAGTATACTCGTTAGGACATTTAAACATGACGTATCGGTATGCCTTGGGTTTTATTTAATTCGATGTTCCCGAATTCCAATAAATGCTTCATTACAATGTCTTCAATCCGAATTATTACCATTTAATTGGTTTTCTTTGTTACACATTATATGGTGATAACTCTATGTTTAATCTATTTTCTCGTCCAAAAAATATCTCGTTTCTCCTACATTTCTCATCACTAGCAAATTTTAAAAATGGAATTACAAACAATTCTAGTTGGCTCTTATTCACACACACAAACATTGGGTTTGGCATGCTCTAATTATTGTGGTATTAAGGATCCGTTTCGACTAACTTCTCAAAATTTAGAATTCTTTGTTTGTAAATCATTAGTGGTATGATATCCGAAAATAAAATATCAACTTTCTTTTTCTAATGAACAAAAAACTAGAAGCTTAGAAGTGTTAAATATCCAACTTCATTGGATGTTTTCTTTTCTTTGTTTTTGATACACTTTTAGGAACCGATATGACAATTGCGGTCGGTGTTTCATTTGGGCATATGTATCGAGTGCTTTTACGCAGTCGTTACCCCGTGGTTTAGAGCTCCCGAAATTTTGCTTGGATCTCGCCATTTGCCGAGATGGCGAACCGAAGCCATCGTTCTAAGGGATTCCAAGATTGATGAATTATTTAAAATTTTTGGTTGTTATAGCTTTTCAACTCGCTTTTGCGTTTTCTTAAAATGTTTGTTAGATACATTGCATTTAGAGTTTGGCTAGCCATGCCTCAATTATTTTCTCCATCTTTTTTCATCTCTTTTCATCTAGTAAAGACTATAACACCATACATTTATGGCATGCAAGAAAAAAGTGAAGATGGAACAATGAGGCTAACATTTGTCTCTCTTAGTGTGACATAAGTTAGTCTAGGCAACTTATAAAGTGGATCTCTAATAAAACTTTTAAATATTTGATTCAATGAATTGGAGGAAAATCTAAGCTAATTAAAGTTCTAAGTGCTAGTCTTTGTTTATGTATATATAAAAAAATTTATTTTTATTTCTTAATATAATTAAATTAGTAATTATTTTAGTTAATTACGTTTTGAAATTTTTGTTGTAGTTAGTTATTAATAGTTTTTCGAACAAACATAATACTCGGTCTCATGACTCGTTAAAATTAACGAGTTATAACTATTGGATTATGACTCGTTAGAATTTAACTATAAACCAGTTAATTTCAACAATCATGTATGTTATAAAAAAGTCTATGTAATTTATAAATGAAGGACTACCGCACAAGATTAAATCAATTTATGTTCTCTCGCATTCCTCCTCTCCTCTCAAAATTCTTTTCCTTCCAAAACTCTACAACCTTAAGAGATATTCACTTGAAAAAATTTGAGGAGTATTGTCCGTAGTTCATTGCATACGTAAATTGTATCCCGGATATGAATTGCTAAAATCCCTAGAGTATTATAGTGCGGGCAATAATCACCTTAATGATCAAGCTTTTGACATATTTATGTCTTATAAATCGAAGTTGAAAATCAAAGAGAAAATAAAGCCTAATGCCAAATGCCTATCGCCTATTGCCTATAGCCAAAACCCTAATGGCTAATGCTTAATTCCTAACGCCTACTACCTAATACCTAATGCCTATTGCCTTGCCTATGGCCTATTACCCATTACCTAATGCCAAAAGCCTAATTTCTAATGCCTAGTTCCTAATACCTAAAGCCTAAAATCTAATGCTAAATGCCTAATGCCTAAAGCCTCATGACTAAAACAAAAAACCTTAAAACCATAAATCCCCAAGTCTTAATGCCTAAAAGCTGAAAAGCCTAAAACCGTAAATCCCTAAGTCCTAATGCCTAAACCCTAGAACTTATTGCCCGATGCATAATGTCTAATTCTTAATGCCTAATTCCTAAAGTCTAAAACCTAATGTCTAATGCCCAACGCATAAAGCCTCAAGCCTCATGCCTAATGCCTAAAGCATAAAACCTATCGCCTATTGTCTAATTCCTAAAGCTTAATGCTTAATGCATAAAGGCCTAAAGTCTAATGCCTAAACCCTAAACTCAAAAACCTTAAAGCATAATGCCTAAAGCTTAACGTCTAATGTCTAATGCCTAAAGCCTAAAGCTTAATCCCTAATGCCTAAAGCATAAACCCAAAAAAAAGCCTAATGCCTAATGCCTAAACCCTAATGCCTAGTGCCTAATATGTATTGCCCGATGCATACTCCCTAATGTCTAATGCCTCAAGCCCAAACCCTAATGCCTAATGTCTATCGCTTAATGCCTAATGCTTAAAGCTTAAAGCCCTAAACCTAATGCCTAATGCATACAATCTAAGGGTTAGGCATAATGCCCGAAGCATAATGCATAATGCCTAAAGTCTAAAGCCTAATGCCTAAAACCTAAACCTAAACCCGATGCTTAACGCCTAAAGACTAAAGCCTATTGTTTAATACCAAATGGTTAAAGCCTAAAGTCTTATGTCATATGTCTTATACCTAATACCTAAAGCCTAAAGCATAAAGCCTAATTCCTAATACCTAATGGCTAAAGCCTAATGCCTTATGCCTTACACCTTATTCCTAATGCCTAAAGCCTTTAGCCTTATGCCTTATACCTAATTCCTAATGCGTAATGTCTATTACCTAAAGCTTAATGCCTAATGCCTTATTCCTATTGCCTAAAGCCTAAAGCCTAATACATAATGCCTAATGCGTGATGCATAATACGTGATGCCTAAAATCTAAAGGTTAATGTCTAATGCCTAAACCCTAATGGTTACATCTAAAGCCTAATGCCTAATGCTTAGTGTAATGGCTAAATTCTAATACCTAATGTCTAATGCCTAATGTTTAATGTCTAAAGCCAAAAGCCCGAAGCCTAGAGCAAAATGCCTAAGGCCTAATGGTTAAAGCCTAAACTCGAAAAGCGTAAAGCCTAATGCCTAAAACCTAAAGCCTAATGCCTAATGCCAAAAGCCTTAAACCTAAAACTTTATGCCTAATGCCTAAAGTCTTATGCCTAATGTCTAATGTGTAATATATAAAGCATAATGCCTAAAGTTTAAAGTCTAAAACCTAAAGCATAAATCCTAATGCCTAATGCCTAAACCTAATGCCTAAAGCCTAACGCCTAAAATCTAATTCCTAATGCCTAATGCCTAAAGCCTTATACCTAATGCCAAAAGCCTAAAGCATCATAGTTTTAAATAGTGATCGCGGTTGAAAAAATAATCGCTATTGTGATCGCGAGTCCCGGCTCATCACGGTCGTAAAATAACGATCGCGGTAATTAGTTGTGTGAATAAATTAGCAATTGGTAATAAATTTATTCTAATTCATATTTTTTTTACAACTTTACTAATTAAACATAATAATAAGTAATCATATCTCTAATAGTTTAATGACATATAACAATAGTTAAATTTATTATAAAAAATAATCAATAACATTTTCAATAGATTAATATCACATGAAAAATAATAAAATACGTTATAATTTCAATAATTGCAGGAAAAAGAAAGCAAAAGAAGACAAAAAAAATGTCTCTCTTTTTATTAGTAATCTACGGGAGAAAGCAAAAGAAGACAAAAAAAGTCTCTCTTTTTCATTAGTAATTACGGAAGAAAGAAAGCAAAATAAAATAAAAAATGTCTAGCTATATTTCAAGCTTTTTTATAATTTAAATTTTTTATATATAACATCATTATATAATAGCTAATAACGGCATTACGTAAGGAAAACGTCGTTATCTATCGTTATAGTCATGAAACGGTATTGAAGCCACTTATAACGCCAAAAAATGATAATGAGTTGCCTCGTTACTATTATATAATGGTCGTTATGCAACATAACGATCAATTTTTTAAAACCATGCAAAGCATGCATCCTAAACCCTAAAGCCTAATGCCTAACACCTAACACTTGAAGCCTAAAGCCTTATGCCTAATGCCTAATACCTAAAGCCTAATGTCTTATTCGTATTGCTTAATGTCTAATGCCTAACACTTAACACCTAAAGCCTAAAACCTAATGCCTAATACTTATTGCCTATTGCCAAATGTCTAAAGCCTAAAGCATAAAGCGTAATGACAAATGCCTAAAGCCTATAGCCTAATGCCTAATGCCTAAAGCCTAAATCCTAATGCTTAAAGCTTAATGTCTAGAGCATAAAGCCTAGAGCCTAATGCCTAAAGCATAAAGCCTAATGTCTAATGTCTAATGCCTAAAGCCTAAAGTTTAAATCCTAATGCCTAAACCTAATGCTTAATGCCTAAAACCTAAAGCCTAAAGTCTAATTCTTAATGCCTAAAGCATAAAGCCTAATACCTAACATTTAACGCCCGAAGCCTAAAGCCTTATGCCTAATGCCTAAAGTCTAAAACCTAAAGCCTAATGCTTGATACCTAGAGCATAAAGCATAAAGCCTAATGCATAATACCCATTGCCTATTGCCAAATGCCTAAAGCATAAAGCGTAATGGCTAATGCCTAAAGCCTATAGCTTAATGCCTAATACCGAAAGCCTAATTCCTAAGGCCTAATGCCTAATGCACAATGCCTAAAGCTTAACGCCTAGAGCATAAAGCCTTAAGCCTAGAGCCTAGTGCCTAAAGCCTAAAGCCTAAAGCTTAAAACCTAATGCGTAATGCCTAAAGCCTAAATCCTAATGCCTAAAGCTTAACGCCTAGAGCATAAAGCCTTAAGCCTGAGAGCCTAATGCCTAATGCCTAATACCTAGAGCCTAATGCCTAATGCTTAATGCGTAAAGCCTAAAGCCTAATGTCTAAAGCCCAACGCTTAAAGCCTTATGCCTTATACTTAATGCCTAATACGTAATACTTAATACCTAAAGTCTAAATCCTAATGCCTAAAGCCCAACGCTTAAAGCCTTATGCCTAATGCGCAATGCTTAACACCTAAAGTCTAAATCCTAAACCAAGAGCATAAAGCCTTAAGCTCTACAACCTAATGCCCGAAGCCTACATGTAGAGCGTAAAGCCTACCTAAAGTCCAATGCCTAGTGCCTAAAGTCCAATGCCTAGTGCCTAAAGTCCAATGCTTAATGCCTAAAGCATAATGCCAAATGCCCAATGCCTCATGCCATATGTGTAATGCGTAATACCTAAAGCCTAATGCCTAACGCCAAATGCCTAATGCCTAAAACCAAAAACCATTAATCCCAAGTCTTAATGCCTAATTCCTAAAGCTAAAATCTCTAAAACCATAAATCCTCGAGTTCTAATGCCTAAGGCCAAAAGCCGAAAACCATAAATCCCCAAGTCCTAATGCCTAAAACTTAAAGCCTAATATTAAATATCTAAAGCCTATTACCTATAACCAAAACCCAAAACCTTAAACTTCTCTAAAAATATATTGTTAGGCTTAAAGAAAAAAGCCGAGTTTTTTCAAAGAAAAGTTGGTAAGCATCTTAGTTATAAAGAAAGCTAAAAAACTACCACATATATACATGATCAAATAATTGTTAGTGTAACAATCAAATTGGAAAGGTGAAAGCAATGATGCCATCAAAAAGAAGAAAAAAAGTTAGGAAACGTAACAAAATTATATGTACCTGTTTGTCCATTAATTGATTCATCAAGAAATAGCGACCGGGCCTCGTCGGGATTTGAAGAGCAACGTTTACCCTTCTCCTCTCCCCTACTAATCCCACCTAAATGCCAATTACCAATAACTATCGACACGATCTTCGATACCCATCTCTATTATGATACTCTCGACCAACACACTTCTCTCACCAAGGCATCTTATCGGGAAGAAGTAGCCGAGCTTAATAAGAGAGTTGTTTTCTTGCCATCGGAGTACCAAGCAAGTTGTCATCTTGTGTCACATAGGCCTAATAAAGTCCAAAGCAATGTTACAATTAACTAATAAACTAAAAATCTCTTGTTAATTTCTCTCTTGGGATAACGGAACTTATAATAATAATATTTTTTAAGATATTGTACAAAATGTAACTAATTCGACATCAATTAATTAAGTGCTAGAAAAGCAGAGGTATGAAGGAATAAAAAGAGAAGAAACGAAACTAGTATTATAGTAGTTAGTACACTCATAATCGTCCCGAAAGAGAGCTTGGTTTTGCGACTATTAAGAGCCATTCTAGAGAAGAAGGCATTGGCGGCAAGGCGACTGAGAGAGCTTCAAGAAGCGTGGATTTGCCGAGCCGAAGGACCCATAAATACAGGTGCGGACACACCTCGAGGAGGTGGATTTGCCACCATTCCGTTCTCGAACATGTTGGTAGCTCCATCTTCTATCTTTGGAGAAGAGAATTCAAAGGAGAAAACAACTTTATTGTTGTTATCTCCTCCCACAATTGCCTCTAATCTTATCAATCCCTATCATTTTGATGTCTCGTTCTCTCTCCCTCTTACTTGTCGACTAGGAAAAGTAAGAGAGATGGGGCTCTTTGGCTAATATGAGCTTAGGGTTCTTTAGCTAGAACCACACCAACAACAATAGATGGTTGTTTTTTAGTGTGAAATACTACGGAAGAAGGTGAGAAAGAGATGGATGTTTTTTGAATTTGAAAAGCAACGAATATGCATTTGGTGTCCGGGGTGGGAGATACGTTTTGGAAAAATTTTGAAACTTCTCTCCTCCTCTCTTTTAGATAAGTTAATAAATCAAGCTACATGGGCTAGGCTAAGGCAAGCTCATGAAATAAAGTTTAACTTACACAAACTATGGGCTTGTTGAATGGTCCGATGATAAAATAAATGAGCCTAACAAGTCCATCGAATAAGAAAAGTGGTCTAAAAGAGACATCGGACTTAAATGAAATAAAGTTTTATCATTTTTCCCTCCGTTCTCTCTCCCTCCCTCCCTTTTTTCTTGTCGGAAGAGAGAGACGACACTCTTTAGCTATATGAATTTAGGGTTCTTTGGCTATTATAACCACACCGATAGCAAAAATGAGAGACTTGCAAGAGTTCTTGCAAATATAATACTTTAATATTTGTCCTTATAAGTAGTAAGCAGGTGAGAGGTTTAGGAGAGCGACATAAGATGTTATTATGAACTAATTATGACTCTAATCTAGTTAGAAATTATGACTCTAATCTAGTTAGAACGATAATGATGCTAAAGCTATTTCCTTAATTTCGTCTTATAGCATAGTGTGTAGACATGTATTGGTTTGTCTAAATTGTGGTTTCCAGATCAATTAAAAAAAATAATTAATGAGGTTTTCCTCTAGGCATTATTGTAATTCTATAATCATATATTTGGCAGTTTGCTTGAAATTATCATATATAATCTCATTCATTTTTTATTAATGGTATTTTTTTAAAAATATATATTTTCAAAGAGACAGATTTGATTAGTTAGACAACTTATATAGCTTTATTGATAATGATGGCAATAAATATCAATGCATGCCGACGCTAGAATCGAAATCCTCTTTTCATATTCTATCCTTGCCATAGCTTTATTGATAGTGATGCTATTTGTTTTGCGTTCATAATGCGAGCTAGTTAGGCCGAAATACGGATCAAACCTTCAGCATACTAAAGAAAGGTTTCTAATCCTATAATAAGCCCGACTCTGAGCTTTTAGTAAATTTTAGAATAATAATTAAGCATATAAATGTAAAAATAAAACTGAAAAGTAAACAAGCAATAACAGCTAAGGAGATAGACATTTATTTTCAACCTCATATATTCACCACCTATCCAAAGATTTACATTTTTCTCCACATGTTGACAAGGCCACCTGCAAATGACTTCAAGTTTCCCCAGAGAGTTGATTTCTTTTCAAATTCTGCATCATCGGCACTAGGAATGTCTCTGTACAATGGAAGCATTGCATTTAATGTCACTCTTGAGTAGTAAGAAGGTATGAATGAAAAATCACACAATATGTAAGAATATGAAATGATACTTTACAGGAAGCAATCAAAGCCAGAAACCACACAGCATGAGGTGCAAACATAAGGCAATGGCCATTCCGATAGGTAATGACTGGTTGGATTTTAACTCCAAACTTGGGTGATTCTTCTGCAGTGGGCTAAACTGCAGCAGGTTTCCCAATAAATATCTTAAGAAAAACTAGTCATTAACAAGGACACTATTCTTTTACAAACACGTAGTGGTATCATATCAAATATGCATCACCTACTTGACTTGCCACACCAAAGAATTCCCCATAATAATAACGTACTCAGATTCCCAAGTAGTTATCATAATTACTTATCTACTTTCTCGCCTTTGCATTGTAGTGATTTTTCTTCTCTTTACAACAAAAAATCCTTGATTCACGTGATTTTCAAAAAAAAAACCTATCTACTTCAGCTGGAAGTAACCAATCACACAAAACAACCCCACCCCCTCTTCTTTCTCCCCAAATTAAATTCTTAATAAATACTCATTTGATTATCAAAGAAAAAAGACAAGGATACGGAGGCTCAACAGCATTCAAAAAGGATGCAGAAATTTTCATTCTATGGATCTTCAGATAAAGAAGATAGGCTAGAGCTAAACCTATACTCCTTGGGCTTCACACTGGAAGCTCAGATATCATCAGACTGCCCTCAAACAACTCAGTCAGTAAAATTGTCCTCTACTTTTCTTCCTAATAAATTAACAGTGACGTAGCTGTTGGGTGCTCCTACCTGTTTTTCTGTAGGCTGTCAAGCTGTTCAAATCCTTGACTTCTAAGACCTCAAGATGAAGTCAAATAAATCTATGCAAGCAGAAAAACCATCGAAGAAACATGTGAAACAAATTCAAGTTTCAACTGGATAATGCTATGTCAAGAAAACTCTGAGAGTACTATCCTAAACAAATTCTTGGTGAAAAAAAAAGGTAGAATGTTATACAAATGCCAACGAAAAGAGGATACAAATAATATGATGGAGTTGGGGGAGCCTACTTGCTTCTAGGCTTCTCAGAGGACATAAGCTAGAACTATTATAACTGATTAATTTTGTTTACTGAAGTAATGAAAGGTGTTGCCTAGGCAAATGATATAGAGGGAGATGTAGTGAAAATGCAGATGGTAACCAAAAATGGAACTGGTAAAATGATAAGGGCATCACCAACAGTAGCAGAAACAGCAACCACAACTTTAATAGCCCTGATAATAGTACTGTATTGTAGGAGGAAAACTTACTTATCATATCTGTCCAGATCAGGAGAACCCTCATTATGTTTTGAAAGATCAGCATCCATCGCTCCTTTGAATGCAGAAAGCTTCTCTTGATCACTGTCCATTTTTCCAAGGCCAGGATGAGAGATATTCTTGGTTTCATGTTTTCCCTTATGACTTTCTGCTGCTACAAAATGAGAATTACCTTCCTGAGCTTTCTCTCTTATACAATCATCTGGTTTTTCAAGGCACTGATTTTTCAGAGCAAAATCAGAATGATCATTCTGAGCTTCCTTCACTTCATGTTCCACTGGTTTTTCTGTGCACAGATGAGACGTGTGCTTCTCCATTCCTTCCAGAACATTACCTTGAGTTGCAACTATGTCAGAATGCTCCTGAAAGTGCGATAGAGAGTAGGTAAAGAGAAGGTTCTAAAATATGCTCCACTCTTGCTTATATTACGAAACTTTCTTTTAAAATAGAAGAACGAGGACCATCAAAACACAGAGGAGTCAACAATTATTCTTATAGCAACCAGGGATAAGGTTCATATTGGTTGGGGAAACACCAGCTATAAGAATTTATAGAAGTTATGTCGACTTACCACCCCAACTACAACTGTCATCCCTTTGGAGTTTCTTGAAAGCAAAGCTATTATTTAAGGGACTAATGTAGTAAAGTATGCTGTACTTACTGTGCTCAAGAATCAATGCACCGAAGTGTGCATATGAGATCTTGTTTATAACAGCAATAGAGGTTCAGTAGGAGATGCCTTTAGGTTTGTCACAACCTAAACTGCCTATGAGAGAAAAAGAAAAGATCCCCAGACGAAAAGGGGAGTTGTTTATAAAAGCAGTAGAGGTTCAGTAGGAGATTGCTTTAGGTTCATCACAAACTAAACAGCTTATGAGAGAGAGAGAGAGGAAAAAAAAAGTCCCCAGACTAAAAAGGGAGGGCCACCTCACGAATTAAACTTTTCTATAAGCTGAACACCAGATAGCATATTTCTATTAATTAAACAAATCGCATTAAAAAAAGTATCCCAAAATAAACTAGAAAAGCAGCTATTTACTATGACAAATACGCATTGCGCTACAAAACATAAAACATTTAAAAATGGAGCGCTAAACTTCAGACTTTGTAGACTAACAAACAATTATCATCCAGATATCAACCTCTGAACATCATCGGACTAGAGCCATATCCACAAATTTCATTGTAAGATCTTCAGAGTCTAGTATATTCCCACTTAAATTATGTTTCCTACAAAAAAAGAACTAAGATAATGCAATAAACATCAAACACTTACAGGAGCAATTGGGTTTCCAACCTCTTGAGGCACCATCTTCTCAGAAGTTTGCAGGCCTCCCTCTGCTTCTAGATATCTGTCACTTGTGTCAACTACATCATTGAGAGCAACTGCACGTGAGTCACGTTGAGTTCTCATACCTAACATTCCCCCTCCAGTTGACTTTTTTTTAACTTCAACCAACGGCTCACTCACAATAGGTAGCTTTCCTAAAAAGTTCTCATTTCCACTGTTTGAGGATGAAATTTTAGATTTGTGTTCTAATTCTTGAACAATCTTCCTAACAAAGTAATAATTGCCACCAACTTGTTTTTGAGCATCAGAAATGGATGGAAATTTTCCAGCATGTGTTTCCCTATACCTGAAAAATGGTAATGTCAATATAATAATTCTATCCCGCAATAACTTTCATATTAACAAAACATTAGAGCTCATTCAATGCTATAATATCATTGGTCAGATTCAACACAAAATTGTGGTCTTCCGATTTACTACCGATGATGTCGATGAATGAAAGGCATAATCTTAAAAGTAGGCACTTCATGCAAGAACATTCTCCAATTTCTTCAATGACTTCAAAGAACTTTCTAAGCTTTCAAATTGAATACGGGCAAAGATATGTAGACTTTAACTTTGCATAGCATCCCAAATTTTCAACTGAAAAACAATTTCGGTGATGATCCTAGAAGTCACATCACAATA